CTCACTCACTCACTCACTCACTCACTCACTCACTCACTCACTCACTCACTATCTCTCTCTCTCTTCTTTCTTTCTCCCGCTCTCTCCGCCCAAATCGTTTCTCTCCAGGTTGACAGGGTCAAGACTGATCTTGATCCCACTGTTCAGAAAGCTGGGGCGATGGCAGGCCTTCTGCATGGACCCGGCCTTCTGAGCAGGCATTGCGAGGGTTGGGCTTGCCGTCCAACTTGGTGATGTCATTCAATGCTTCGACCCTAAGCTGACAAGAGGCTAGTACACTCCCATTTGGTCGAAGCACGGATAGTTCTTTAGGATTGTGCATCATGGTCACAAAGAACAGCTGATGGCTTAGGTTTTTCTTGTGCGGGCCCCAACCCCTGAAGAACAAGGATGTGTGTCCCTTTGAGTCCGACACATGGACCAAAGCTTGGATCCAAAGCAAGCTGTGAGTTCGGTGCTCGGAAGGGAATGTGGGAATGACTGTGGGGATTTTTAAGGAAACCACCAGTTGGATGGTTCATCTCGGGGTCATTCCATTTCTCATTCCCTGAGCACCGGCAAGCTGAGTGAGCCAAGTATCTCCGCGCTGTCTTCTTCCTGCTGCTTCCATCGCAGGGTCTGGTCCAAGCTCACGCCCGCACGCGCTTTAGCTTTACCGCCCGCGCGCCCTGCCAGGTCTGCCAGGCCCGCGCCTTTCTCGCGGTGACTCGGCTCAGCCGCCACCAGGGCGAAGAGGCATACGGCCCACCACACCATGGCGTTGACTAATTAGCTGAGCCAAAAGGTCTGCCTCAGTCGAAACCCAACCCGGCTGAAACTCACCAACCAACCAACTGGTCAACTGGGGGCAAGCCTCTGAGCCAACAGCAACCCCTTCAACATCGCAGGCATGTGCCAACCCCCCCCCTAAAACAAGGAGCTGCTCATCCAAAAAGTTGCAGGAGAGCTTCCAGGGCATGCCGCGAGACAAAGTGAACTCCCTCATTTCCCTCGGCTCCTGCTGTTTTTTCCACACTTCGCGGGGAGCAAACCTGGCTTCCTTCGGATTGACACAGCCCAGCAACATGTTGGCGTGGGCTCGCGACACGCACACGCGGGAACACAGAAACAGGCTTCGGGCAATGGTCCAAGGGATGGCCCTCGGCCCTCGGCTCCTTGACCGCTGGGTCCTGCTCGTACAAAGGCGTCGTGTCAGAGAGGTTGAGCTTGGGATTGGAAAGGAAGACCTGGGCGCAGTCCTATGGGGTCCTCACAACATTAGGGCTACGCGGCTACACCCTCCAAATTACATGCTCAGTGATACACAGCAATCATCCAATCCAAACTCAGCCGCTGAAGCGGTCATACCCTTCGCAACTATGTCGAGCACATCCTCGTCTCTGTGGCCGAAAACTCTCGATTTCAACGCGGCCAACAGTCCCATGCTGGCATGGCCCGAAGTGGCCCGTTTCTGGACGCACCCGTGGGCCACTTGAGGTTTGTCAACAGCACACGAAGCAGGGAATCTGCCTTCCCCAGCAGCGCGGTCAACACAGTAAGCTCAGATTGCAATGGCTGAATACCCAAGAACTCGTCACAGGTCTTGCTAAACTGAAGGAGCATACACATTAAAACAACAAACCACATTGAGAACGTGTGGTGGTTCACACATGTGCATTCCAAATTCGCAACACGTGCGTTTGGGCTAGGAAAATGTTTGTGGAACTCGGACTGCGGCGCCTCAAACAAGTCCTTGTAGGACCCGCGTACGGACCTGGGAGCGGGGCAAATCAGACATCGTGGACGCACCGACGCGGGAGATGGCCGCAATTCGCTCGGGCGGAAGGAGGCGAGGGCTGAAAGCTGGGAGCCGGGTGCTAAGCATTGGTGCGACTTGATACGTGACGGTTGTCTGAAATTCCTTGTTCCGGAAACCGCCATCTTCGCGAGAAAAAAATAACATCATAGCTCCATACAGGGACCTTTCGGACGACTCTCACGTCAGGAAGCAGCACAAAAAAGCTGAAGGAAGAGCCTCCGGAAAAGGATCCGTGATAGGAACCAGCCCAAACCGCGACCATCTGCTTGGTCTCACATCTTGCAAATCCTCGCGGCGCCATAAACACAATGCGCTCATGTTGGGATTGCGTTTCTTAGCCACTTAAACTCTCAAAGTGCGTACCCTCAACTCGCCAACTCCCCCCCTGCGCTCGCCGCGCGGCAAAACCTGAGGCATCTGAGGCCGCAGGCCGCGTCGGGTCCACCACGCCGCCGCCGTCCAGGAAGTGGAAGACGACAATCTGCGACAACTCGCCGGTCCAGCCCTCAAAGTGGACCCCAGGAAGATGCGTGGAGTAGACCTGGCGGCGCAGGTGGCACGAGCTGCCCCCATTTGCTTTACCAAGTGGACGACAACAAGGGGCTTGCAAAAACAAAATGCCGCGCCTTGCGTGAGAGAGTCCCTTTATCGCAAATGCGCACCATCAAGATCTTGCCCTGTACAAGTATATAACTTTAGCTCAAGCATGTGCTGTGTTCAAGCGGAAGCTTCCTGGAAGCAATGCCGGAACCACCATCTTTGGTTTCAATACTTGCAAGCCTGACAACTGCTGACACCAACATGACAAGCCTTCAGTTGGGGACAGCTGTCACGCGTGGATAGTCATACTGCACGTGGCCGAATGGCCGAGAAGCGGCAAACTCCGGCCCTGGGCCTTGCTGGTGACGAACTCGTTGATGGGATCCTTAAGTGCCCGAGACAAAAAAACCAAAAAGGCGCGTGTGCGAGCCAGCCCGAATCGACAGACGTTGTTCCGAGCTCCCCCAAGTTGTCCAAAGCATTGGTCCGCAAACTTGATACCCACTATGGCCAATGCCAAATGTGCCATGAGTCTTTGGACAATGTGCCAGGGGATGCTGCACGCTGAGATGGCATTGCCCAGCCTGCTATTGAATCATGGACCGGATTGATGAAAATAGGCATAGAATTCAAATCGAGGCCCAAGTGAATCGGATTGATCCACATAGCATAGAGAGCAAATTCAAGCCCAACACGCCATTCGCACCCCAAAACAAATGCGAAAGAATAACCCAAACTCAGAAGCATTGCCGCGGCTGTGTTCGGCTGCCAAGGACCACTCTTTGGATGTGGCAACGTGGCGTTTGCATTTTGAGTCCTCGCATAAGCACGCCGCGGGATCCCAAACGTGAATCAGTGCCTAGGTTCGCCTTCCAAAGGCATCCACAAGCACCGAAACCAACCACTCCACAAGCGCCAGAACCCATCCAATTTCGATGCCCCAAAACGAAACCAACCTCCAACCCCCACCTCGGCTCCTCCCTTTCACCCCAGGACCCGAGGCGCCAGCAGCGCCCAGCGCGGCGCCTGGAGCGCCGCTCGCGGCGCCAGGAGGCGCCGCTGCAAGGGCGAGGGCTCCGCGGCCAGCTGCTCCTGGCCCAGCAGCCCCGCGAAGGCCTTCTGCGAGAACTCGAACCTCGCCGCCGCGTTTGCGCAGACGCCCCCCGCCAGGAAAAAAAGATATTCGCCACGGCTAGGCCAAGAGTCTCGTTCATGCCCCGGGGAGTAAGAAACGAAAAACCGCGAAAAACAAACAACCGAATTGCTGAGTGGAGCCTTGTTGTTGGGTTTTCTTTGCTGAGTGACCGTTGCAGGGAACCATTTTGAGAAATCCCGGGGCTCTTGCTTGCAGGTGACTGCTCCCTGTCTTGGGCATGGCTTCACTGAAGGTAACGTAGGATCATACTGCAAGATATCAAGCTGACCTATTGCATGTTTTCTTTGGATGAGCGCCCCGGATTGAAAGTTAGAACCTGTGATCACAATCTGGCTAGCTCCCACTTATCCGATTAATCAGGGAGATAGCTGTCCTTGAGGGTGCCTGTGTCTCCGAACAGCCGTGTTTGCGCCCAAGTGTTGCAAGGCGAAAACCAAAGAAAACAACTGCAACAAAACAGCAACACACAAGCTGCGACTGAGAAACAGCATCCATAACAATCGCTTCCCTCTGAAAATGCACGCGGCCCGATATGAACTACTTATGTCAAGCCTGTGCACCCAATTCGATTTACAGCCGGCTGGAAAACGAACATGTTGCAGAGCCCTGATCCACGAGTTGTGTTTCCAAAAACTTGACTGCCCACACGTGCCAGCCAAACCGCAGCGACAGGAAGCGACGGAGCGTCAAATTTGCGCGCTCATACCAGCATGCATGTGTCATTATCTGAGGGTATGGATTTGGGGCGAAGCCGCTTGACACACCCGGGCTGCAACCTAAATCCCCTTGCAATGGCTGCTTCGCCAGGCAGCGGGTGATGCCAAAGCCAAAGCAACAAACGATGGAAGAAGTCCGCAGTGCTCGGGCATGCCTTCACGTAGATCACTCCCGTGTTGAGGCCTTAGCGGGGCAAAGCTGCCCGGTCTCAAAGTACGGTTACCAACGCTGGCTGCTCGTTTATTGAATCATAAAGTCTGAATTGATTTGGCCGGGCAATGTTGGGTGCTGACATTACTGGAATATTCTATCAAATCGCATGACCCACATGGGTGCTCTTTTTTAGGGACCCCTTCCAATCTTGGTTTCCTTAAAAGACCGTCCAAAAAACAAGGTTGCTTTCTGCTCCCCTGCTAAATGTTTAACTTTTAGTGGTTTAATGGAAAACCCACTAGTTGGCAAACAGTTAAAGTCCTAACATCCCTGGGCAAACTGCATGACCCACACGGGTGCGTCTTTTTAGGGACGGGATTCCTGTGGGTTTCCTTTTACCTTCCAAAACCACGGGTAGCCCCAAACCCGGTGGACGGCTGTTGGCCGGGCGGCATTCACTGCCGAAGTCCCGGCTCACCAACATCTCAGCCTCGCGGGGATCCATCGACTCACGCGAAAGGCTGCGGGAACCGAAAGGCGGCTGCAACGACCCCTCTGCAAAAAGTGGACCTAGCTCTCAGTTGCCCAAAGGACCTGGAACTGAAAGGTTAACCTTTTGGGGCCATGACTAAAAATGGACCAAAATTGGAAAACCAAAAGGTCAAAAGGTCGGCTTTGAACAACTGAGAGCTTCTTGTGGGTTTAGTGGACCCAACTTGATTTCGACCAAGTTGAAGTCTAAAGATCCGTTGCCGAATAGCAGTCAAGTGACGATTCCTCTGCTACAGGTTGAAAACTGATTGTTGGTTCAATTCGGAAAACCAACTTGAATTCAGCCAAACAGTTGAGTCTAAAGATCCGTTCTCCAGGCCTAAAGTCTAAAGGTCGTGGGCTTAAAAGGCTGGCACCTTTAGGACCAAGAAGTCCCCACCGAACTGAGCGAGTCATTCAAAGGCGTGGGCTGTTCTCGGACAAACGGTTGAAGTATCACCAGTTGAAAGGAAGCATATGAGTTTTATAATGTATGGGAAGATCATGTTTTGAATCTGGAAGGCCCACATGCAAACCAGTTGGAGGGTCCCAAAGTTTGGCCCCATCTTTCCCATCACAGCTCTGAATGCCTTGCGGGCAAGGAGCATCACGTGCTAGGCGTGGAAAGGGGTCCTGCATCACAATCGTGTCAAAGTCGAGGTAGAGGAGGTCAAAGCCCTCAAACGGTGTCCAGAATCAGATCCAGCTGATCAAAAGACGTCTTTTCGGGATGTTGATTGTGGATCACTTCCATCAGATAGTACCGGAAAGTTCTTACTTGGCCCTACTTTCAAAAAAACGCCTTCCTAAAACAAACCGCACCATCTCGGGCTAGCTAGAAACCGCTTCCCTCTCAAAAGTTCGGGTCGCAGGACCGTGTCTCATTGTCAGCGCGACCAGCTGATTTTCAGCACAAGGGGCGGGTTTCTTCGGGCGGCACTGGCGCCGCATAAGCACCCCGGCGGAACGCGCAATTGTTGTATATGCGAAGTTCAGCTTGCGGGAAAGGAAGGCAAAGGAAACACACACACACACAAGTTGCATGGACCCGCAAAGGGTAGATGTGTTCATATGCATGTATACATATATATATATATATAGATCAGGCTGGGCAAGGGGGTGGAGTTTTTCTCCATGACCAGTTCGTGTCAAGCAAAACTTCTGCCACGGCAGGCATCGACAAGCCGCAAGCCCAGCGCAAACGTGCGTGCCGCAAACCTGTATGTAGCACTATTTGCCCAACACCAGGGAACTGGCTGCAAGATCGTCTTAAAATACTTTTGGCCTATCGTGCAACCTGAGTTAACTTGGTCATCTTGGTCAAGCAATCTGTACATATCTTATCGCATATGCACTCCTTCCTCCAGATTGAATCGCTTGAGGAGGGTCACCCAAACTGCGAATGATTTGAGGCAGGGGATCAAGAATACCCTGTCCAAAGGTGACCCTAGATTTGCTAAGTTGGTCATGCATATATACTATAGCTACACCAACGAAAACTCAAAATAATTTAGTATATTCGCCAACTCAAGCTTCTGATGAGTCTTGTGAACATATCCTTCCTTCATCCGAGGCTCCTGGTTCACGATGGCTGCGATCATGGCATGCTTGCTGAAGAGCGCAAACTGCTGCATGCCGACGCAGAGCGAGGGCCATCGGTGGCTGCCACGGCAAACCTCACAAGCCTCACCTCCGCAAAAGATGAGGTACTGATGCCTGGGCGCGGAACTCCAAGGTGACAAAATGGCAACCAGTTCTAGGGGTACCTTCCATTTCCATTCTGAACCCAGGGATCCGAATTCGCAAACCACCAAAAAAAGACCCGGGGAAATTGCGATCGGTTGTTGAAAAGAACGATGGCTGAAAAGAATGGAATCGGAATCAACCCCTGGAAAAGTGGCCTTACCATTCAGCCAGGCCTTACCATTCAAATTTCAAGCCCTGAGCCATGCAAAGGAAGCCGAACCCACGGGGCATTTCTTAGGCCTGAGGGAAACATCCTTTTTGTTGGTAATGAACATGTCACCCACCCGGCAGGTCAAAGTCTTCTGTCCCTCTCTCTCTTTGCCTATCTTGAAGCTGCGCTCACGCAACTTCCCTGAACTGTCGGTAGCATTTACTTGCCCGTGGGAAATGCGTAAACCACATTTTAGTGAACCGCCGGTGACTCCTCTGCCACACCTTTGGCCCCACTTTTGGCGGTTGGGGGAGGCCTGCCGCGCTTGTTGCGGCCCAAGGGGCAGGAAGCCCAAGGCCTCCATCCTCTGCAGGGCTGCTGGGAGATATCCAGCGAGCCGCCCTTGGCCCAAGGCTACTGTTTCAAGGATGCCCCAGGGAAAAAGAAAGAAGGGAAAACACACGCGCCGGCTGAACAAAGACAAACCATCTTACCTGTCTTGAATTGAAAGCTCGTTGAACCCAAGTCCATCTGTCAAGATTTTGCCAATGTGTTCTGATTTGCACACTGCAAGGGGGATGCAATAGGCGCTAGCCTGGAAAACCATAAGCCTTTCGTGGGGGAATTGCCGTGAAGAGGACTATGCTGTCCCGATGGGGTGCAGCATGCGAATGGCTTCGGAATATCTTAACTGGGCGTCCAAGCACTTTAATCACAAGGATCTCCCATCTGCAAAGTTTCTTCCGGGCTCCGCAAAGTTTCGGTGCCTGCGGGAATAAAGGCTCCGCATAAACCCTAAGCCCTAAGCTCCACAGAATCTCCCGGAACTGGACACGGAAAGACCTTCTGGCTTTTGAACTTGCCGCCCCCGTACAAGAACATGGGTAGTGGTGAGACATAAGCATGCGTCTTGGAACATCACGACCAAAAATCCACTAAAAGTCCGCATGCCAAGTAAGAACTTGAATGGCAGTTTTGAAGCTCTCCATTTGCGAGGCTTTGACTGAACAACGCGATGCAACTCGAAGTCCCAATTGTTAGGCCCGACAACCCCCGACTCCGCCGCACTCGAGTATGGTTCAAACAAGAATCCCATGATGGATATCCCTAACCCTCATCGCAGGTCAGACTTTTGGTTGGCTGGTTAAAACCCAGATCTTCACACAAAGCAATCACTAGTTACTCCTATGCTTGTAACAACCTCTGCATGAGATGGCATGAGCCCCAGTCAAAAAATAACTAGATTGAAAGGAAACTGCAAGACCCTGGGAGGCATGAGAAGCCCCTACCAGATCTTGCATTTTTAACTTCCCCCCTCAAGCTTCCCGCCTTGCCCCCAGCCGAAGGCGCCTCCCCAAAGCAAGGTGCACAGCAGGATCTGATTGAAGGCCTCGCCTAAACTCTCAGGGCCCACAAAATTCCAGTGCCGACAAAGGCCTAAGATGTGCTATCAGCCGTGCACCCAGCAACACGTAGCCAGCAACAACACATTGACTTCTGGGGCCATGTGCCCTGCTTCAAGCATGCTCAGACGGCTGGCTCATGGAATGCAGGCCCCCAGGGTTCCAGCTGAGCTGTTTGGACACATCTTCCGGTGAGCATTTTGGGCCAGGCTAGACAACAATTATGCGCACCGCCAAAAACAACAAGCACAGGTGCGCAACCTTGGGGTCGTGTCCATTTAACTCTAAAGCAGGCTTTGGTAGACCTAGACAATACCAGCCACCATGTCGAAGCCGCAAGATGTGAAAGACCATGAGCTCAACATGAATAGGCATCGCCGTATTATATGCGTGTCGTCGAATGGGAACTCCTGCCGCAAGCAGTGGCGGACACGTGAGAAACACATCCATCCAATCAAATAGCAACAATGCGACCAGGTCGCTGGATGAAATCTCCTGACAGGCAGCCAACGCCCCCTCAGGACGGACATTTACACACACACACACACAAACACAACCAAACCAACGCAACCCAGCCATGCATGCCCCTTCCCTGGACCAACCGCCCAGAACAGGGGCTCACACCTGGGCATGCACTTGCGCAGGATCCGTTGCAGCCGTGGCTAGCTATACATGCGCAAGCGTTAACATGCTTTGAAGCCGATGTAGCACATCAGCAAATCACTGTTGATGGTGTGCCGCAAACATTGAGAAACTTGCACAAGTGACTAGAAGTCAAACATATGAGTCACAATCAAAGCCCGGTGATTAAATGGTTGCAATCCCTGAACCATGTCAAGAGTTACTAAGGCTGCTGTTGTTTTAGCTTGGGACTATCCCGTACTAAACTTTATCTACCCGAGTCGGTTTTGAGCAAGTGGCTCATGTGAAGTGTCAAAGGGTTGGGTTTGCAGGAACTTCGACTGGAAAACAGCTAAAGTTTTGGGGCCATGTGCTGCAGACTTTCCCGAAAGCTTAACCCTTCGAAAGTAACCAGGGTTCCACCAAGCTTCCATATGGTTCTACAAAGGCTACAGGGATCCTACAAATACTAAATTGAACATCGCTTATTCTTGGGGATATCACCCAAGCTTAGCTTTTCTTCAAATCGAATTTTGTTTCTAATATATGAACCCCCGACAAAGCGCCAGCACCAGCAGCACCTCTCCTCCAGCGCCAGCAGCAGGCTCCGCATCGTCTGGCTAGGCCGATTCCGTAGCCAGCGCCGGACAGAGGGGCTGCCCGGGTTGGACCTCAGCTCCGCGACTGCGTTGTAATGATGTACATGTGGCTGGTGCAGCGGTGCAGGGGGCATCTGACTATGACATGAAACAGCGCACACCTACACAAACACCTGGGCTGCCCTCAGATCCCGCGCAAAACTGAACTTTTAGTGGGTGAAATGGAAACCACTAAACACTAAAAGCTGAAAAAGCTAAGGGGTGGCTGCGAGCCACCAAGTTTTGGGGGTCGTTTAGTCTTCTGTTGCTGGTGCGATAGGTAGGGAATATGTTGGAATGAACCCAAGAAATTCCCTCAGGAAACCATAAGCGTGGTATATCAAGGTCATTACTTCATTCCCTGCTGAGCACCAGCAAGTTTTCGGGCGTTTCAGTGTTTTGGGCCTCCATTTGCGCTTTCGTCCCCTGGAAAAAGACATATGTCCAGTGGTGATAGATTCCCTTTAAAACCAACAGGGGGGAAATAAAACATATTTATTTCAGCACATGGAAGTGGGGCATGAAAGTACCAACAGTGCCAGCCAGAAACTGGTGGATTTGCTGTCCAACTGGAGAAAGAAACCATCAGCCTGGGTAGGCACCATGACTCTGGCACATGTTCCAAGAGCCTCAGACTTCAAGCGTAGGATTGTGATGTTTCATTCCGGTCATACTGTTGCAAATGGGATTGTCACCATGTTCAAGCCGTGCAAGGACGCATAATACATTCACACAACGGCTAAAGCAAGCGAGGCAAGGCGAACCAGAAACAACTGAACGATTGACATGCAAGCGCCAAATGCACAAAGCCCTTCAGGAAGCACTCTTCCTCAACCACATGTTCAGCAAACCTAGTTCCCATAAAAGAGCCAGCTTTCCAACCCGCAAAGCAATGATCACCATCCGGAAGTTGACGCTTAACAGGCAAAATCGCGAATGCTGTTGCAGCTCAACCACCGAAAACCTAAACCGTTAAACCAAGCATGGCGCCCAAAAGTCATGTGTTTCCGGAGCATCGTAGCTTGGGCAAAAGCCAGCCACAGCTTCCGAAACCGAAACGACTCAATGTCACCCAATCAAAGCTCAATGCTCAGAAGCGCCAGCGCAGGATGTCAACAACAAGGGTCAAAACAGGAGAATCAAAGTGGGGACCAAATGGTGATGTTCTTCAGTGCCTTTGAAACAAAGTCCAAAGAGAGCCATCATGGTTACAAGCCATGCCTGCGCGCGCAGGCACAGGCAAACACAAGCAAGCAAGCAAGCAAGCAAGCAAGCAAGCAAGCAAGCAAGCAAGCAAGCAAGCAAGCAAGCAAGCAAGCAAGCAAGCAAGCAAGCAAGCCAGCCAGCCAGCCAGCCAGCCAGCCAGCCAGCCAGCCAGCCAGCCAGCCAGCCAGCCAGCCAGCCAGCCAGCCAGCCAGCCAGCCAGCCAGCCGGAAAGCAGGCAAATGCAAACACACAAGCACACAAACAATCAACCTTACTGACAGTAGGGCCTCCAGGTATGGTATGGTTTCTCCTTAGGAGAATTGGTGCATTCCGGGCTGCAGGATCTCCCAGGGATAGAAGTCCAAGTCATAGCCTCAAATCTATGTCAAGCGCCTCAAACCTCAAGTGGTGCTTTAGACAATATGCCGCATATTGGTGGCTCTTTTTTCTGGTTGGACCAAAATGGATTTCGCTTGCCTCTCTTGCTTTTCCTTTAAAGCCCACCATAAACAAGTTCCCCCACAAAAGACCCAAACGGACACATATATGGTTTCATGCTGATGGGTCGGGTCAATTCCGGCTACGTTTGATGCTGTCATCGCGCCCGCGCTGCCTGGGAATTTTGGGACTGGCTCACCAGGTTCGCGCTGTGAGCCCCGCAATTTGCGGGGGGGGCGACGTTGCTGACATCATCCAAGTGTCAAAAAGCGTGCGGATACCCTGCTGGAACTGTAGGATGCCCTGAGGTTGGTTGTGTTGAGCCTGGGAAGGGAAATCCACCAACGGTTCCTTCGTTGGCTCCCTAGACCAAACCAGATACACCGGGCTTTTGCCACGCCGGCGAAAAGCGCTCTGCAGGCTTCCCCCCCAACGACCCAACGACCCCACGGCCCAAGGATTTGGAGAACGAGGAGCGCAGGCGCCGGCTGCCTCGCTCGTGGAGGTGAGCCAAGTGGTCCCAAAAAGGCCACGGGGAGAGGAAGAGCAAGTCCAAAGTGCTGCGGCCCAAGTGGTGCGCCAACTGCTGCAGCCCTGCGAGTGAGCGAGGGGGGGGTGGGGAGGGGAGGGAGCCAAAATAAGGCCCAGAAGATCTGGGGCTTATTAAGCCTTCTTGAATTTGGGCTCCCGATATTTGGGCCCTAAGGTCCCTTTGGTGCTGCAAAGACTTTGAGCCTTTGCTCTCTCTCATGACAACAAAACTATGCCTGACATCCCATCCCATGAAGGAGAACCACTCCAGTTGAAGTCGGATTGTCTTTTGGTGCAAACTGTCAAGCTGGATTATGTTTCTTAAAGTGTGAGGTCAGAATTTGGTGCAAGATTTGCAGGAAAGGGCGGTATGCTTCAAATTCTGGGCTCAGACAGTTTCTGCTGATCTAGGTGTAAATTGAGGATTGGACATGATTGTGCGCCAGGACAGCACGTACAAACAAAAGAAACGTCATATGCAGCTGGCGCAAACACAAGAGGCTGGCACTAAGCAAGTAGCCAACACCTAAAACTTAGAACCAAGCAGCTAGTACAAAGAAGCATCCTCAACACGCAAGCAACACACGTTCTGCTATGGCACTCCAGCGAGGTTGTTTGCCTACACTCCTCCCAGAATCTGAGACTTATGAGCGCGGACGCAAAACAAATGCGAAGCAACCAAGAAGATGTTGGCCAAACACCCCCAAGCTGTCTTGTAGATGCTTCTAGGTCAGGCCTCCCTGAGGCGAACGGAACATATAGATTGTGACCATGCTGTCAAGCCCAGTTCCCCCTACAACAGACCATGGAGGCCCAGGCGCAGCTCCCAAAACAACCGTTGAACAGCTTGCCAAGAGCTTGTACCCCTGATGCCTTGCCTACAGCTGCGCTCCGGTTTTCAAGCTGGTGATATTTTGATGCCCTGAATCATGTTGCAACCAAGCTGTTGCATCGTACAAGAGCTTTCTGCTGTCCGTGCACTCCATAGCTGTACCTTTTCTGCAAAGACGCCCGTGAAGCGAGGTGTCAACACATGGTTGCACGGAATGGCGGGGGCTGTTTGACACCTCAAGTTTCGGATCAGAATTCATCCTGAAGCGTTCAGGCGCTCGGAGAGCTTTTTGGAAGACTATACTTTCCGTTCGCTTGGAAGCCCTTTGTCCACTTCCATGCTTGAACAAAGGGCAAGTCCACCCACCCCCGCGCATCAACCACAGGACGTGCAAGCAAGTCGCCGTCAAAGGCAGCCGCAATCCTGAGAGCAAAGCAGGGAAAGGCAATCGGACCCACTGGATCGAAGTGGAAATGCCGAGCCTCCCACCGATTAACGGAAGACACCTTGCAGTTCGGGAGGTGCTCGTTTGACCTTTCCGTGAAGTTCCACGTCAGTTGGGAGGGTATACGTATGTCAAGGCAAACAAAGCAAGTCAGACATGCGCAGTGCCATCCAAGCTGCTCAGCTGCAACCAGTCCGTAGCCCTCTGTGTAAAACTCCTGAAGGGGGTTTGAGCCGTGACAGGTCGGAACCAATTGGCGGCACGTGATCAAAACACTTTCCAAGCCATGGCCCAAGTGTATCCGCAGTGAAGTCAAAAAATCTCGTAAGAGACGACTCCCCTTTTTTCTATGCAAGGACATGCAGAGCTTGGGGAGCATTCTGGTTGATTTCGCTGCCCCTCAGCTGCCCTTGCGGCAAAAAACGCCCCAAGGGGAACCGGGGGAACCGAAGCCCAGAAAGGCTCCGAGATGCGAAAAAAAACGCACACCCCATGTTGACCGCCCAACTGGCAAGAAGCCCTGGAAGCATACTTGGGCTCGAGGCCCAAATGCCCGGCCAGGATCTGATTCCAAAAAAGGGGAAGACAATCGGATGCAAACCCTGCCTTTTTCAGCAAAGCAAGGTTTGTGTGCAACAAACAAAAGCGTGGCAAAGAAGTAAACGCAAATCACCAACCTAAGCATCATCTTTCTCTTGAGTGGTCGCATCTCTCCGTACTCATTCAGCATGACACTAGATGGCCCCGGCCCCACTCCGATTTGCTGCCTAACACGCAGCAACTTCCATCGAGGTTCCATCTACTTCTGCACCAAACCCGGCACGGCAAGTACCATGGCCTGCAAGCCCGGGGTGCGGTTTGCGGGCGCAAAAAGCGGCTCAGCGCGTCCTGCATCACTAACAGCTTCTCCAGCAACGAGACCAGCACGCCCAGGGGGCAATCCAAGAACTTCTCAGGCATGTTCCTGGCGCATGGCAACATCCGAGGCATTGCCGTGACGCGCAAGCGCATGTCTTTCCGGAACACCCAATACCTTGCGACAAACCTGGTCCTTGGAACTTCGAGCTTGCTTTCACGGTTCGCGGAACCGATCTACTTTGCAAGTGGTGGTGACCAAACTGCACAACACGCACAGGCAAAGTTGGCTGAAACCCTTTGTGAAACACTTTGCAGAATTGGATGTTGCTGACACATGGGTTGCCAAAGGGGCCACCCAGCAGCCTATGGGTATTTGACCTGTGCGCAAATGCCACACAAGTGCACAAGCGGAAGAATCAAAGGCCACTGGGCCTTGAATCCACGGTTCCAATTCATGCAGGCATTGGATACCATCTAAGCTGAGTCAAACCGCCTTGCACGGGGAATGGGTAACCATGGTTCAATTCAATGCCCATGGCATGCCTTCTGTTTCAAGGATTTTCTTCCAGGCAACCAGGATAGGCCTTTTGACCATGGCACGAAAGCGTCAACATGGTGCAGTGTTCTCAGAAGATGGCCTCTGGAGAAAGCTCGTGCTTGGCATTTGTCATTACGATTACAACCTCTCGCGCATGCTTCCGCAATCTGATAGCCCCTCACCTGAACGAGAAACTTCTCCGTAGCTTATTCTTTCAGCAGCCCAACAAGCTGCTGCGAAATGCTGGACAAGCTCCTGCACCAGCTGGGGATGAATGAACTGATGGGATAAACCGTCAAGTTGTAGTTCAACTGGCCTCATTTCACCCCGCAAGTGGTGGGTTTACCATGATCAAAGAACCCCATTTTCTGACTTTGATCACCCCCCGAAACCGAACCGCAGTTCAATAGCCGCGGATGTTTTGCTCGCAGCACCGGGCCCTCAGATCGATCCCGATCGAGAAGGCCTTCGGAAGAGCTCTTCGAAGGCGGCGACTCCCGGCAGGTCGAACCAAACCAGCGCATCCTGAAACCGCCAGGCGCTCGCTGCGAAATGGATCGGGGAAGGAGAAGTGAGGAACTGTGGATGGACGAGTTGGTTGGTATTTGCAGGGTAATCATCATTCCAGGGTTTCTTAGGTGGTGCAAAATGGATTTCGTCCATCCACAGAATGAACCCAGTTGCTGGGGTCCCCCCGATGTTTTTTAGGAAGCCACCAGTTGGACGGGAATTCTTGGGGATTTTTCCAATTCTGATTTTTTGAATCAATCGCACCAGCAAGAAATGGGGACAACTCCCAGTCACTCTTTGGAGTTCCTGGTGCCGGACTGAGGCTGCCGAGGGACGCTGGACACTTCTGGGCGTCGAGCAGTTGACAAAGCAGGAAACCGTAGGAAACCGGCAGTCGGCAATTGCAAAAAAACAGCACACCTAGATTCACCTTGAGCTTGTGGCCGCAAGGTGTCATTCGCCAAGTTGCAACTAAGAGTCGGGCGCTTTGCTTTGAAGTCGCTCCAGGTAATCGGTCCAGTTCACCTGTCTCACGGGCCAGTTCGGTCAGACCGTGAACTCAAACTCAACGAGTGGTGTGAGCCAAGGTGACGTTTCCCAGAGCAGCTGGTCAATCGTGTCAGTTTGTTGGAACAGGAAGTTGGCTTGCAGGAACTTGGCCAGCATCCTCCACTCCTGGTCCTACTTCAAAAAATCAAGTGCCGGTGCCCACCGCGCTTCCGCTTGAAGAAGGCAAAAAACAAAAACGCTTCGGCTGCTCTGAAGGCAGCAGCCACACAACATAAACGGGTGACGGCCAACAAAACTAAAGCAGCATACGCGCGACGGAATGGAAGAACTAGCAAATGCAACGACGCTGATTTGAAGCATTATTGTTTTGTTCCATAGCGGCTGCACTAGACTTCACAGCTTCCCATAGCGAGCACAAGCCCGTGGCAACATCCGGCAATGTTGGTGACATGCGAAGCCAAAGCACGCCATCACAAAATCTTCGTACAAACCCAAAGGCCCCCTGGACCAAAGGTTGTAGACAGGATGGTTTGGGACTACCAGTGTCCATTTGAGTGGAAAAAGGCTAGGTCCCAGCAGATTGGCGCGGATGCATCGTGGAACCCTTAGAAAGTCCTTGAAATGTGAAGGAGTTGCTTCCGCAGTTGGTTGTGAGTCGAATTCATCGTGAGCTTTCGTGACGAATCGACGGAACCTGAGGGAAGATCATGTTTGTTTTAAGGGACCTGCATGATCAATGGTGAGCATACTAGTGGCTAGGGTACTGCATGTACTTTCTGTTTGGCTCGTGTTGTCCGATTTGCATCGTTTCCAAGCAGTTTCAGTTTGTCGTTGCCTTGTCGGTGTTGGTAGGTTCTGCTACTCAGGCTCCAGGCTGCCTTGGCTCTGAGTGTGGTGTGAGGGTCTCGCAACACGAAGGCAACTCGCGGCATGTTGCGCGATGTCCTGGTGGTCCAGGAAGGATTTTACCGACCTGACTTGCCGCTGGCAAAAGCATCTGCCTCTATCTTCTGCAGCCTGCTAAAAAATGGTCGCTCACAGAACCAATAAGCAGAACCAATACAACTTGACGCAACAACAGTGAAGACAAATCTCGGTTGCTTTCTGCTCCCCTGCTTAAAGCTTCACCTTTAGTGGTTTAATACGGAAAACCCGTTAGTTGGCAAAAAGTTAAAGTCTCCTAACACCCCTTGGCAAACCGCACCAAAGCTTTGATTCGTACGATCCATCAGAAAACTGCTCGGGAGCACCGCAACAAGCAACCAGGCTAAGCAAAGTCCTAACATCCCTTGGCAAAATGCGGCAAAGAAATCTCTCCCTGGATCTTCCTGGACCTTTCGAGGCCTCAGTGCTCTGGCACCGCAGCTGCGCCCCAAGCTCGTCGTCCGGCCCAGCCTTCCGGGCAACCTTGCGGCCAAAGAGAAACATCGCGAAGCCGCGAAGGACGGTGGGTTGGCATCATGAACTCGGGAGGGTTTGCATCGCATGTCTGAAATTACCGGCGTTTTCAGGAAAAACAACTTGAAAAAAGAAAGCCCTTTCTGTTTGTTTGGGGGGTTGAAGCTGAGGGCAAGGGCGACACCGAACGACTTTGGTTGAGGGGTTGACAATGCGATCTCCCAAACTCCCAGAGAAGGGGAAGCCAGTACGTAGGGGGACCCATTGCGTAACCCAAGGATAGGATTCAGGACTACATTGGAACAGCCATGGTTGAAGCCAAGGGAAAAGCTACCAGCTATAAATGCAGGGGGAATCACTGGCTCTTTGATGCAAAGCCCAAGGAACCAACAATTCATTCCGAAGAATTCCGAATTCCATTGATGCGCTTAGGCCTCAAGCCTGGTGCCGCCACGGTTTCTCTGTTTTCGGTCGCCATCGCTGCACTCGGGGGACCAAATTTGCTATGCTAAACGTCGACTCAGTTCAAGCCAACCATTTCATGGGACACTTTCCTGCTCGAAAGCAGAACTGCATGTTGCGGACAGCTCTCTATATATTATTGTTTGACTTGGATAAGGAGTTTGCTTGGCTTCCCACAGTTCTCGTCTAAGGCGCTAGAGGCGCGATGGCAGCTACCAGGGGCCACATCTCCTTGACAAACCGGCTGTTGACGAAGGTAGGAAAGACCTGGCGACTGGCTGAAGAGGCTAGCTGCCTGAATGTGAGTTCTAAGGCCAAATCATCGCAAGTCACACAAATCAGGCCTGCATCTTTGAAGTGGCTGAAGCTGCGGGTTTGCCACCACCCCCAAGTTTCACAGAAACGAACAAAACATGGTCACGGAGGCTGGAAACGGATGCCAGCCCGTGCCGAGGTGCACTAGTTTTACAGGGTCCAAATGAACGCAAGCTGGAAGCACCCGCATTTTTTACGTTATTTCCAAAACCTGAAAAAAGAATTGGATCCCCAAGTACAGAATCTTTGCCATGGCAATTCGCTTGTTACCCAGGCCAGCTCGCTATTAATTTATGCAGCACGTCTCAGGCCTCTCCCGGCGTGAGAAGGTAAGGACTCCTTAGTGCCGCATGCCACAGCTTGCTTTTCGAGTGCAGGCGTTTTAGGCAAATCTGGATGCCTTTGTGTGTCTGTGTGTGTGTGTATCATTATAGGCAACTGCCATTTCTCGTGCTTTCTTTTCTTGTTCCTGCCACATTCTCATGTGGTACGAGCTTTGTTGGCTGACGCAGGGCAAAGGCAACATATTCCGAGTCGAGCTTAGAGAGTGGACAAAGCTCGGAGCAACGAATTGAGCCACTTTTCCCATGTGGAGAATCTCAATCAAATCTGTCTAGCGGTTTTCCAAGCAAATGGAGTCATCCCATGTTCGGAGCTTTTGAGCGGCCCCTCCCCCAAGCTCGCTCAGCTCGCTCAGCTCGCTTCGCCGGGGCGCTGGAAAAGCACCTCGAAGATCTCGAAGCGATCCGAGTCCGAGCTGTGGGCGTCCACGTGGCTCTGGCACCACCGGAGGAATCGAAGCAGCGCCAAGGCGTAAGGACACTCCTGGCACCAGGGCGATGCCGTGGGGTACGTGGGAGCCGTTTGGGAGGGTGCCCAGACACTGGGGGGGAAAAAGGCCATTGGTTGAGTTTAACCAGAACCCTTGCCCAAAAAAGGGGAAAAAAGGGGCACCACTGGGCAACTGGGTCTGGCAGCTTCTATCTTTGAGGGAGTGTCCCCCCCAAAAAATAGAAGTACCAGGATCTGTCTCCAAAATGGCCGCCAAGCCCTGAAGCAATGCACGGAGCTTTGGCTTTGGGCACCATGGGAGTCAACCAATTGAAGTGAATCAGATCTTTCTACTTCAGGCGCAGACCCCTCTCTGCAGTTCCCGGCCCATGTCCTCCGCCAAGACGTCGTCTCTATACACTGCCTCTTTCCTTGCGGGCTGCAAAGGCAAAGCGACAAAGCGGGCTGGTTGAATTCGATTTGCTGCAAGCCCGGCAGGGTCCAAAAGTGCCACCCAGGGGGGGGGTAAATGTCCGCTTCGCGCGCGCCAAACATTTTGCTTCAGGCAAGCTGCCATTCGAGGACAGGCAACGACTCTCTAAAGACGTCGCCGGGGCCTCGGCATGGTGAACGCCGCAATAAATTACCCTGAGTAACAAAACACACACCCAGCGCAATTCTCGGGATACTCGAGAAGTGAGAGCATGGTTCTCGCCAGGTTCCCTGAAATCCTTGAGGCAAAAGCTGCAGGATACTGTAGCCCTTACTGACTTTTGCAGCCAGGCCGCCCTCCCTGGCCAACTGCTCGAGGCTCGCGCGCAAGCCTCACAAACGCGTGGTCAAACAAGCGCCAAGGACACCAGAGTTGAGTAACATCGCCCCAGGCCACAGGTGAATGTATAACCGTGAGCAATAGTGATGGTGGCTTACCTAATACCTCAGCTAGACCAATTTCAATTCAAGTTTGACCTCCGAGTTGCTCGCATCGGCAACTCGGAAAATGAGAGATAGTTTCATAAGTTGAGGGTGGGTAAGAGGTTTTACTTTGTCCTTCAAACAGGGATCCTTACATTCTACACCTGAACATTGCCTTGTCAAGGGTGGTTTCCCTTCATTTTGGTGGAACAAGCCACGTTTCAAATGGTTGCAACATGTATCTTTTGTGGCAACCATCGTTTACATCGATGGTATCATCTGCTGTTGGTTTAGCGTACACCAAAATATCTCAACTAAGACTGTCGGTAACTTCAAAAACCTCCTCCTTGTGGCGCTGACCGCGCGGTCTCCCCAACTCCCCAACTTGATTGACGTTGGAAGGGGAGCAAAAATTGAAATTGTAGCAGTTAAGTGGTTGGATTTCCCACTAAACCACAATAAGCAACAATGTAAAATGTTTCCCAACGACAACCATGCCAAGTCTGCCTCGGGCTGCTTCCAGGATCCGCTGGGCGCGCGGGTCCCCCAGGCAGTCGAAGTCCGGAAGCTGCTCCGAGGCGCAGAGCCAACTGGCCGAGAAGCCGGGGAGCCGGGGCTCGGTCGCCATAGGGATCAACCCCAAAAACCACCAAAAACCCCCCAAAAACAACCAAAAACAACCAAAAACCACAAAACAACAAAAAAAAACACGGAGAAACGGCGATCGGTTTTTGAAAAGAACTGAAAAGAATGGAGACTCAAGCCCTAGAAGCATAGGTGTCCGTTTAGGGGAAATAGATGGGTTTCCCTGATAGGTGATGAAATCACCAGGTAAACCAGGAATCGAAACCCAGCTATTTTCTCCAGCAAAACAAACAAAAAGGACACCTATGCAGTCGCGTGTCAGAAATCTTTGGCCCGGTCGAGCTGAAACCGACCGGTGGACAATTGGGAAGGTGAAGCCAAACGAAGCTCTGTCGAGATCCCTTGCAACGAGGACACCGGTGACAAGGGATTTCACAAAGTACTCTCTTTTCAATCATAAAAGTGGACAGGTGGCTTGATTTGAATGATGGCAGTCCAAAAACATTCTGAGCACCAACGCAGTGCCTGCAGGAAAGCCCGTTCCAGCAAAAGAGCGGAAACCTGCCTAGTTCACTCATGCCATCGTCAGCGCTTACACATGAAGTGCTGTAGACTTGTAGCGAAGCCCGCGATGAGTTTTTTCCAAACATGCTTCGTCAAGCGTGTTTCATCTGCAGGGAAAGTCTTAAAAACCAGATCATGGCTGGCGGCCCTATCCCTGGCCACTAGCATGACAGCCCACTCAAAAGGGGACACGCCCATCATAAAAGGCAACACCTGTAGCTGATCTTGTGCCCTCCCCCCGCCTGGGCTCGCAGCTGCCAGCAACGGAAAGGCCGACAAGCAACAGCCTGCGGAGCACAACCGCGGCTCTGTTGGACAAGAGCCAAGTTGTAGATCTCCGCAACCGGCAAGCATCGCTAAGCATCACTTGGAGTCAAAATCAAAACTGATCTGTACTGAAATGCTCCACCAAATCCGCGGAGGCACCTATTTCTAATTGGGATTGTCCCTACTCTTCATCAACCCGGATTTCGATCACGCGGCTCACTTGACAAACTAATTAGCACAAGACCCCCGGTACCATAGGTGTCCTTTTAGGGGAAATAGATGGGTTTCCCTGGTGGATGATTAAACCACCAGGTAAACCAGGAATCGAAACCCATCTATTTTTGAAACCAAAACAACTTTTCAAAAGGACACCTATGATGCCCACCCGACCCTGGCCTTCCCTCGCTTCGCAGTAGGCGAGACATGGCACCGAGCCGGCCATGTCAAGGTCCGTTGGCTTCGCCCCAGAAGACAGCACGCATGTGCGAAGAACCGACCGCTGAAAAAAAACAAAACAAGCACGACCCAAGCGTCAACTCTAAATAACCTCAAACGTTTGATTTCCAATTGCACAATATCTTATAATGCTCAAAGAAAGCGAATGCACACGACATGTGCGCGTCTGTGCTCAACTTGTGACACCTAAAACGGCAGCACGGCCGACGTGACCAGCTCCGCGAGTTGCATTACGCCGAGTTGGAGTACCTGGATGGCGCGTTGCGCCACGCACTACGCTGTCCTCTTTTTTTTGCAACAACCGCTTGGAGGCGAGGGCACGGCGGGCAACTCACTCAGCACCTGGGGCCCGGCACCTCCTCCACTGACTTGCAGTGGGGATTTGTAATGACCGCCATGGACCAACCTCGGATGCTCTGTTGTGAGTCGGAAGGCGAAAGCAACCAACAGGTGAGACATGGAGTTTCACAGGGCATGGATAGTTCCAATTAATTGAATCTGTGCCGCCAGCTATAGCTACACCAGTCAAGCAGCTTCTTGCCGTCAATGACTCTAGGTTCCATCCTGCCAAACAACGTACTGGTCGACAAAATTCCCAGCTGCGAAACATCAATGACTGTTCAAACAATTCTCTGCTACTGAAATTGGCTAGTTCCCTCTTTTGCCAGTCTTCCGTTGGCCATAGCAACACAACGCCCTTCTCCCCGCAAAATCATGTTTGTTTAGATCATCAGTTGGCCGGGTGTAATGGTGTTCCGTCACCCCTTTCATTCTACAGCTTGTGGCTCTAGCTGCGCTAGAACTGTCAAGCCATGATCAGCGCTGAGTAAATGTCTCTGGCAAGTGAAGCCTCGGCACTTAGATGCAAAGTTTGGCGAGTCTATCTCGCTCGCTCGCTCTCTCTCTCTCTCTCTCTCCAGGTGTCGATTTGGAGCTGGCAAGGGGTGACCCAATCTTGCGGAACTGGCGTATGCCACTGCTTGCCGCCGCGCCGCTGTGCTCCCTCGGTTTCCTGGATAGCTGGTCTTGAGCCAAGCTGGCTAAGGTCCGCAGCAGGGTTTTCCCGGTGCCGCCGCTTCTCCAAAGCCTAATGTTGACCCCCTATTAATCAACCCCAGTTTATTAATAGGGGGGTGTTTTTATTGTAGAAGTGAAGAATCCCCACCAAAAACATAAACACCCCCATATTAACAAGCACTGGGGTTGATTAATAGGGGGTGTTCAGCCTGTCCCAACGGGCCATGGGTCAAAATATTGTACCCCCAGTGAACATCCCATTCCAAGCACCAAAAACTCCGGTTCCAAAATGGGTGGTGAATTCACCCAATCCATTTCCAAAATGGGATCCCCCTTTTTTTCGGCTTTGACCACCAGCCAACTCAGCCTATTCCACAGCGGCCTGTCGGAACAGGAGTTGCCTGATCCGGGATCCGCTGGGACCGGATCAACTCGGGGCTAGAGCCGCGTCAACAGGGCTGGAAGTGGTTGCAACCAGAGTCTCACAAAGGCATCGAATCATTCAAATGGCTGCTGCGAACATGGGTATGCAATGGAAGCAGAAAGGGCCGCGAACTGCCTCATGCGGAAATATGGCCTGATTGGAATAATTCGCTTGCCGCTCACCTGCAACAGAATGTCTGCTGAAGCTTTTCGCGCCAACTCTGTTTCTTAGAAAGGATGTTCACAAGTCAAAATGTGGCCGCCCCACATCGCAAAGTCTCGATGTTTTTCAGCCCACACATAGTTTTTGTTTGGGTTTGGCAGGCCTCAAGTAACAATACGGCCGTACTTCTGCTTCTGATGATTGAGTGGAACTCGTGGACAAACTTCGCGCACACGCCTTACATGAAGTTCACAGACAGCATTCTTTTTCTAGAAACTCTAGTAGAGAGGTTAGAGTAAGGGTATCCTTCTTTATGTAGTCTATTTTAGTGGGGGAACCCCCAAGAAAGGGTAAAAGGGCACTACTGGGGGACCTAGTCTTGGTCCATCTTAGTCACCCCCAGGCCCCACAAAGCCTTGCCGCCAGCTCCATTCGGCCTCGGGTGCGAGACTGACAGACCCAGTTTGGGCGAACAATGCGGCTATGAACTAGTTTCCAGGGCGCCCATTTTGCGCAGGGAAGTCTGTAAAGTTATTGCGTAGCTTCATTAGCACGGAATAATGGAGTAGAGACATCTGTCCGAAATGGTGACCCCCAACAAAATATGCAATGGTGAGCTTTCGGGAAGCAAGTGTGGGGCTTCCCCTCAGCCAAACTTGAAATCCCCTGCGCGACTTTTTGGTGGGCGTGTCAAAGCCCAAGGGCCCTGCGGCGCTCTGCCGCGGCTGTCCTCCGCCACCCAAATCGGTCTGCCACCCACCTCAGCGCGACGGCCCCCCGCGATGGTGCAGAAGGTCAAGCCGTGGCACAGGGCTCCACTTTGAGGACCCAGCCTGGACTGGTCAAAATGTTTCATCGCGAGAGGGGTTCAAGAGACAGGAAGAGCGCCCAACTGACCGCAAAACAACACCCAGCTATCAACGAATCGATCAACCAACTGACAAACCAAACAGCCAATCAATCCAGCCAAGCCAACCAAGCGATTCATCCCAACCAACCCAGACTATCCAATCAAGGCAACGCAATGCAATGCAAAGCAATCAATCAAACGAAGCGACCGACCGATCAACCGAACAAAGTCGTCAAGCAGTCAAGCAAGCATCCAACGGATCGACCACTCAATCACACAAATCAACCAACCAACCCACCGACCGACCGACCAACCAACTGACCGACCGACCGACCGACGAATGGATCGATCCATGAATCAAGCACCAGCAAAGCAGCCAAGCAGCTAAGCAGCTAAGCAAGCAACCAAGGACTAGTCATCAGAGTGTGGGGTTCCATGTCAAAATTATCGCCTTTGCCAGGTCGCGTGGAAAGCAACATCCAACTGTTCAGATCCACCCCACCAGTCTGAAACAGAAGGCCAACATCAAGGAGGTGAATGTTAGAAGCTAGCAGCTAGATCAGTGTTCCAGATCTGAAACACCGTTTGTGTGCTTTGACAGAACACGTGCAATTAATTAGTTCAACGTGGCCCACCAGCTTTTGACGTCAAGAAGTATCCGATAAGCCGGAGGAGTCTCAGCGCATGCTTTGATCGACCCGGTCAAGCGACGCAGACGCCAGCCCTAGCTTAAGCTCTGGGCGTTGACGTCGCGCAACTGGATGGCATGGAGAGCAGACTCTGGTCTGTCGAAGAGACAGTGGCCTGAGCGAAGCCACCCCTCAAAGCCTGAAAGTCCAGAATCAGGGTGAGCAACAGGATCACTGAAGCATGTGTTGATAGCCATGCAGGTGGCATTTGGTGGCCCGAGCAACATCAAGCACCAACACCGAGATTTAATGTTCCGCATCCTCATCTCACCAGCTCCAAATTAGCAAAGAACTTGCCAAGCTGGCATTAGGGCGGAGAAGCAAAACATGCCGCACTTCACCTGACGCTTGAGAGGATTTGTCCCATCTTAATGAAGAAAACTTGCAACGCCAGGAGTCGCAGTCGCCATGGGTTCCCCTTTTTCGTCCCCCCTTTGCATCCTTTCCCTGGCAGCTATACTTGGATGACTTTGGGGGCAAAAACTCAAATTTTAGCAGTTAAGTGGTTGGATTTCAACCACTAAACCACAATAAGCAAAACTGCGAGAAATGTTTCCCAACAATGACCGAGTATGAGCCACAAGGTGAAAACCAGTTTCGAGAATTTCCAACGCTTGCAGAGTCTGGCAAGCGGACATATTAAACAAAAAAAAATACACGTGTATATGTATATAGATATAGGTTCACATGTTATACTAAGTTATACATGTGATTGAAGCTTACAAACCTGGACTCAAACCGCGTTTGACAACGCCGGTGCCCCCTTAAATGCTGCCTGGACCGGCACTCCCAAGAGTTGGCTCAGTCATGTCTCCATGCCTTCCCAACCTGAGACCAACTAGGTCCTCCAGTAGAGAGGTCAGAATACGGGTACCAACTTCTTTCTGTAGTCTATTCTAGTAGGGGAAGGTTCTAACCCTGCCAACCAAAAAAGAAACGGGTGAGAAAGGGCAGGCACCTAGGTGGACCCAGCGCCAAGCCATGGAATCTGCAGGTCTCGGAGCCTCCCGGCCCATGCCCCGGGACCGGCCCAGGTCGTTCTTGAAGAGGTTCAGCTCCAGCACCGTCCCAGCCTGCTGGAACCTCACGGCGTCGTTTCGGGTTTTTCTGCGTCTGACAAATTTGCCTCAAGCAAAATCCACCTGGCTTGATTCATGATGCCTGGGTGCCGGTTTTGAGAGGCAAGAGCAAAGACGGCAAATGCTGAACTTAGCTAATAGCAATTGAGAAGGCACCAACTGACTATCCAGTTGGGTCACTTCAAATCCACTAAATCATTTCCCCTGTGCATTTCCCCCCTATGAAATGGCTCAGAAACAAACGGCTCAGGTTCACCTCTGGGTTTTTGGGTTCATGTGAATAATGGGGGTCACGCCTCAGGTTGGGCCACCCAAATCCAACGGAATAAAACTGCTCACCTCGGGCGCCGACAGACTAAGAAGCTCCTCCTCAGAGACTTCATACGGCACGTTGCTGAAGAAGATGCGGCCTGGGATGTCGGACACCCCGAACCCCCCAAAAAATACTGCCAGGGAAGGGAGCTGGCATGCATTGACCATTTGCCAGAGCGTACACATGACAAAGGCTGCAAACAAAAACAGCCGTCAAAGCCAGCTTCCAAGGGCTCTGCACTCAAGACTGAGTTCTTGCTCGAATCACTCACACGCATAGAAGAGTTCTCTGCAATAACACGTGCTTGTCGCGACAGGCTTCGCGCCAGAATCCAACTGGCAGAACAACTTTCTAAAACATCAATGGGTCAGTGAGTAGAACATGATAACCATCTGCAAGTTAGAGGGCGGCAAACCATGCCACGGCTAAAATGGCAAGGCAACAGAATGCAGCCGTAGTTTGCGCGGGCAATCAAAGCAAAAGCAAACATAACTAATCCATGTAAACATAGAGTTGCCTGACTCCGGTCAAATGGCAACTTTGTTGAGCTGGCATCACATTCTGATAAAGCCATCCTAGCAAGACTCATCGCAATGACAAGAATACGCAGCCACATGGCCAGCTGGAAGTAAATGACAATGATTGCTGGCAAATCTCAAGTGATCTGTGAAAGAACGGACAACGCTTCTGCAGCTCTTGTGGAAGTTTTGTTGCTATCTGCCATGGCCGGAGCACCTCCGTTGAATTCTGACCTGCCTAATTGCCGGCATGCGTTTTCACGTGGATCGTTTCCAAGAGAAACAAGGGCAGCCCTGGAAGTCCTGAAGGAACCTGCAGCGGCGAAAATGGATCTATCTGTCCAAGGCTGTAGGGAACGACCACTTCACCCACAACACCCACAACAAAACACCCACAACACCCACAAAACACCCACAAACAACACAAAACACCCATCACCCGGTTCTCTCTCGTTAGTCTGCGGCTGGAAGTGGCAGCATCGGGAACAGCTCCTCCGGTGCGCTTCCGAAAGGTCCAGGGTTTCAGCTCCATGAGATGCTTGGTTAGGAATATGGAAGAATCCTGCCCGACGTGAAACATGTGGGTGGTGTATGCCTGATGCTGGCTTAAAATACAGGTGCAAGCAAGACCCCAGAAATGAGGCACGAGGAAGTTCGAGCAGGGTGGCACTGAGCATCAAAGCTAATCAGCTAGTGCCTTGGTGCCTTGGTGGCAGGTGCAAGCAGAACAGTCGAATAAATTCTGAGAGGGCAACTGGCTGCAAAAATTGGCTCTCCCAACGGAAGGCGCAGAGCTGTTGCCTTCACCAAACACGCCAGGCAGTTCCCGACCAGGAGCCATGGATGCCAGCCTTTGGAACTCAAGCAAAGCACCCCTGCCAGAAGGCAACGGGTTGGAGAAGAAAAAAATGGGGAGCCAACGAGGCTCCTGGAATTTGCCGGGGGAAGGCTCGGGACCCATTGAAAAAAACACTTTCCTGCTATTTGAAAAACTTTAAACACGTTCCTTCGATTTTTTTGGGGGGTAGAATCATCCTCTGCACATCGCGGCCGAATGATTCGCCATCCGTCACCCCTCCCCCAACCTCGGAAGGCGGGTGCCGCACCGTATGAGGCAGCCTGCGGCGCGTCTGCCATAGCCCACAACTGTTGACCCCCTGTTTGTCAACCCGAGTTTAACAATAAGGGGGTGTCCGATTCTGGGTGCAATGTGGGGAAGCAGACAAGCAAACGCCCCCATCCCATGTTTTAACAGGTTGGTTTCTTAATATGGGGTCAACATTTGCGGAAGCATGGCAACAGCCAAAGCAAGTGGCTTTATCCAAAGAAGCTATGGAACAACTACCCTCCCAAATTATGGAAGCTGACGATCGGAGGGTTTTGGAACATGACTTTCCTTTTGGAGAACCTCCCTGTCCACTTCGGAGGTATCACTTGCTGGTATCAAGCTGAGGGCCCGCACAGCGTCAACTAATAGATTGATCTCCCGGTCATACGCATGTGTCTATACTGTTGTTGGCTTGGGGAGAACGATTGCCAGCTTGACAACCAAATGGTCGCTGAAAACGCATACAAGAGCCCGGTGAGCTTGCAGTGATTGGTTGACGTTGGCAAACATGATACGAGTAATTAAATATGCAAGATGCATGCCAAGGTCCAAGGTAGTGTGAATTTAGATCATCTTAAGTCGGTGTTACTTTGCAAGGCTCAACCAGGCTTCTACAAGCTGCCGGCAAAACATGCTCGGCTACATGCAAAGCCCCACTGCAAAGGCCGAACAGCGCCTGTCACTGGCATGCAGTCTTCAGCGTCAAGTTGCAATCAGGAGATTGCGCTGAGCGGAGTACCATAAATGCGCTAATTGATGGATTCAATCCGAGCAAAATATATCTAAGTGAATCATACCAAGCTCACAAACAGGCCACAAGCACGAGCGGAGGTTGGCCTCCTCCTACATTGGCTGCATCTTATGCAAGGCAAGCACAGGCAGGATTCATATCATGAAGCTAAATCAGATGCATCGCATCTCCCCATGCCCTCGTTCATCTTGCCCTTGTTGGTAAATTCTGCTTATCAGAAGTGCCAAAGAATGCCCGTGACCTTAGGCCCACACGGCAGGTGCACCGGCTGACGGCAAAGGGGGCGCGCGATCCTGCCAAGGTGTCAACGACAACTCGCCAAGGAGCAAGGGCAAACGTGATCCTGGAGACATACTGCAAGATTGCGGCCAGGATGTTTTCAAGGGTGATCTGGATGTTTCGGGGGTGATCTGGAGGTTTCAGGAGTGATCTGGATGTTTCGGGGGTGAGCTTCCTGCATCTCAAGAGCAAAGCCTCAGTCTTTAATTTCAACTGGACCTGAGGACCAGGGCTTGCCCGAATGTGTTGGCGTGTGTGCGTGTGTGTGTGTGCGCCCGACAAAGTTGCCCTTACTGAAATGCCTTGGACATGGCAACGCAGCCCGTGATTGACATGAGGCGTGCATGAAACTGTTTGGGCACCTCCCAGAAGATTGCACCGCTTGCTTCCGAATCCTTCATGAACGCAGAACTGAAAGTTGCCGCCTTCTAAGCGGCATGTCCGCCAGGCAAACCACTTTTTGTCAGGGCCAAGGAGTGGGAAAGGTCCACACGCTTCAAGACCCGACCTGCTTCACCAGGAGAGGTCTTCCGCCCACCTGAGTGCCCGCTGGCGCATCAGAAAGGCCACTGCTAGTTCAGCGTCCTAAATTGTTTGAAGGTTTGCGCTTGCCGGTTGATACGTCCAAAGGGATGAATGGATAAACTTAACTCAGCAATGCTCCAGCAACTTCTTGCAAAGCAAAACTGATCGCGATCCGACCCTCTGAAAACAGACGGAAGATATCCCCAAAATATCTCCAAGGAAAATGCTCCATGTACGCGTCCGAGTGCGCCGACGTCGCGATCCAAGAGGTACTGGATGGCAGCGGCTGCCAGGTCCGGCGTGGCGTAGGTGCAGTGGCCTCAGCGCATCCCGGGCACTGCGCCACGTTCTGCTCAAGGGCAACGGTCCAACCCTTGGGGTGGTAGCAAAATAACATGGGCAATTGGGTTCTTGTTTTTCAGCCCCCTCCAAAAAGGAACAGCACACTGCACCAAAAAAGAACAAACTATCACAAAACACGGGCCAACCATAGCGAAGGCAAGCATAACCGCCACAAAAACGCCCCTGACCTCCTCCCCCGACGTCCGGGGATCCACGCCCATACCCCGACTCTTCCCATCCGGCGTTCGCATGAGGTTCAGCTCCACGATGGGGCCGATGCTCTGGGCATCGAAGAAGCGTCAGCAAGGGCGAAGAAGAGTTACCCCGGAGCCGTTGTTGTTGTTTTTTTTGTTCCCTCTTTTTGGCCGAACATCCAGAGACCAGGGCAAGCAACAACATGAGTGAGTCACAGTGATTGGCATTTCAGTTTGAAACTAACGAATTGGCAGAATCGCAGAATCGCCCATTCGACACTTCTCACCGGGCGTGCCAGTAACAGGGCTCCTGGGCTCAGGCCAGAGTTCGCCCCTCTCCTGGCCCTTGTTCAATCTGAAGGGGCCCTCCTACACCAAAAACAAATAGCTCGAAGAGCAGAAACCGAAAAAGAACTCAAGGCTAAATTTCGGGCTCCAAAAACCGGGGAAGAACTCAAGGCCCTCAAATTTCCACGGCCCCGGTGGGTTTTTCCTCTTTCCCCAGGGCACCTGGAAGACCTGCTGCAGCTGCAGCTCTTGCACCTCGGTTTCTGGACGCAAAAATGCCCTGAAGTTCGGAAGGCAGGGCACTGAGGGGGCACCCTCCCCGGTGCCATGACCAAGGGCAACTCTTCAACCGTGTGGTTGAAATATCATTGACCAGTCCTCATGATTTTGCCATGATCAAAGTGACCCCCTAAGTGGCGGGTCAAAGGGAAACAACCGCGCTTGCCGACTTTGATAAACCCCAGAAACAGGCAAAATGATGACCCCAGTGAACCGGTTTAGTGGTCTTCCAACCGATGGGCATCCCTTTTCAAGGACCTCTTCATCAACAAATCCGTCGTTTCAACCACGGCATGCACAGAAAGCCGTCTGGTGGGCCTCCAGGAAAAATCCCGGGGGGCCGAAAAAAATTCCGCCGGGTTTCCGTAACTTATCTCAACTGACCATGAAGTTCCAATTCACCGTGCCAACCCCTCTAACCAGCCCCCCCTTTGCCGGATAGAAGTCAAGTCGACGCGGCTTCAACGGGCTCACTGGGCCGGCCAGCATCGAAGGGCACGTTGCTGAAGAAGATGCGACTGCCGGAGGCCGCTGTGGGAACGTTGAGCCTCCAGTCGGGGCCAATCCTTCCACGTCTTTGCCCGGCTGCTTCGTTGAGCATTGGACAAGTTGGACCATTCGTCCGACGAACAAATTCCGGCAATTTGGGGTTAGTCAAAAATGCAGCTGATTGCCCCCCCACCAGCAAAAAATAAGTGAAGTCTGCGCCAAGCGACAAAAATATTTAAAAGAAGATCAAGCAACAGAACGCAATCACAGGGTCTTCCCATAGAAACCTACAAGCATCACCACCGAATGCGGTTGCTGCCCACTGGAGCAAATATCTGAACTTGTGCCATGGCCCCTTGGTGCAGCCAGCTATTGAATGGCCAGCTCTATCCTTCCACTTCCTGGCACCCCGATGCTGAGTGCTTGGCTCGGGCTGCACTGCCTGCACCACTTGCTGCTGGAGAAGCGGCAGGAAGGGCGCTAATTGCGACATCTGCGACATCTGCAGGAGCCTCAGGTGGCCATGGGTCAAAATCCAAATCGTACCCCCAGTGAACATCCCAATCCCCGCAAAAATAGACTAAAATGGATGGTGCACCTACCCCAAAATGGTATCATTGGTTTTGATCCACAGCCAGGTCTTGTCCAATGGTCAGGGGCCCCCCAATGAGGGGACCCACAAAAGGAACCCAGCCCCTAAGAGGCCTTAGTCGCTCAAATCGCCCCTCTTGGGATAATCGCCCTTGACCATAGGATCTAAATGGGTAAGGGTCAAAAATAGGTACCCAACACGTGCAAAAACCCTTCCATAGTGTAGAAAAGACCCTGGTTGCCGTCGAAATTAACCCCAACCCCCCAACTAAAACCAGCCCTTACCATAAGTTCTTGACCTCAATTGGTATGGGTCAAAAATAGGTACAAGCCGGAACCCTGGTAATGGAACCAAATACGAACACCTGCGGATTCCTGGTGTTTCATGGCCGCCCGGCTGCGTCATCGGCGCCAACTGCGTCAGCTGCGCCATCTGTGGCACAGCCAGAGGGGCGACGCCCTGTGCCTGGCGACCGACGAAACCGAGCAAACACGCTTCGCCGGGTTTCCGCTGCTGGCCGAGGAAAGACACACATCCCTCCATTTGCTTAAGTCCCCAGGAAAAATATATGTCCAGTAGTGATAGATTCCCTTTCAAACCAACAGGGGATGTTGTATTTTTGTTTTAAGCCATTCCTAAAAGACTAAACTACGCAACCCGCGCCCCGGCAGTCACGCAACCCGAGCAATCCAACCCAGAATCATTCCTAACTTGAGCAGAAGGAACCCTAAACCCACGTAATACCAAACTGAATCAACCCTAAACAAGCCCTAGTCCAACCGCACCCTAAACCAACCCTAAACCCAGCCTAACCCTGCACCACAACCCAACCCCAGGAAGAAACATGAAAGCCGGGGGGGTCTTTGCCCCTGGTAAAATGATCTTCCTTCGAGTCAGGTTTTCTAGTGGGAGGATGCCACACACAAATGAGTAGTGTTTTTTTTGTTGGTGCTTGGGGCCTATGCACTGCACACATGCCTACGCGAGCGCCTACGCAACGCCTCCGCGACTGCAAGGGGTGCCTACGCGCGCACGTTTGTCTCTTGTCGCGCCTACGCGGGCGCCTACGCAAGAAAATTGCGCGCCGCTTTTTTCCAGCTCGAGCTTTGCAATGCCAAGTCAATCGTTGTCTGACACAGATGCAGAGAAGCAGATGATGTGGAAGATGATTGCGCCGCCAAAGCGTGATAACATGTTTGATTTCCCAGGGATCCCCTTTGCCGTGGCTCTGACTCAGCATTTGAGCAGTGTTTTTTTGGGTGGTTCGGGGCCTATACACTACTTGCGCGCCTACGCGAAGGCCTACGCAAGCCTACGCGGCCTGCGAGGGGTGCCTACGCGATCACAAGTCAGCTTCCAGGCGCCTACCTACGCGGGCAACCGTTGAGTTCAAGTGTCGAAGCGCACTGTGGCAGCTCCAGCTGGAAAATCCGAACTTTTCAGTGCAAGTGCAGTTTTGGCAGCTCCTCCACAAGTGAGAATCCAACATCTGTCCAAGGATCTGGCTGCTAGAAAGGGTCTACGCACCCAAAATGCCTTGAAAGCCTACGCGAATGCCGGAGCCTACGCGAAGACTGCAGAAGGAAGGCAAAAGAAGCAAATTCCTTCATACATGGCAAACAGTCATGATTTGTTCAACAAACGCCTACGCGAAAAGCCTACGCGAGGGGTGACACAACAGCCTACGCGCTGAAGCCTACGCGAGCCTACGCGAGCCTACGCCCCCAACCAGGATTGCCTCCGCAAAGTGCATGCAGTTCCCTTTTTGTATAAACTTTCATTTTAATCAAATCGCATTTGAACAGTGGACAGCCGCCATTATATGGGCGTTCGTTTTATTGGGGGACCCTTTTGATGGACATATCTGGGGGGGATTCATGTCCGCCAACCGCTTTGACAATTCTTAGCCACGTTGGTTCAAGAACCCTTTTCCCAGTGTGTCTGCAACAACTCAGCCAAACCCATGCCCATCCATATGCATTGTAATACATAAAGCTTCAGACAATACATAACAACTCCATCAAGTGCCTACGCAAGAAAAATACAAGGATGTGCGCGAAATGCCTACGCGATGCCTCCGCGCGCCTACGCCCCCCAGCTAAATTGCCTACGCGGACATGATGCAGTTCCCTTCTTGTATAAATCCTTGATTCCAAGAAAAAAACGCTGCCCAAATGACATGTCCACAAGCGAGGGCTTCTAAGGCTTTCTGACACGGGAAGTCACCACCGCTCGCTTGAAACGCACTTCGCTTGCCAGCCGCACCCCAGCGTGCCTTGTTGTCCTCCGCAATCCAAATTGGCCGCCCCCCGACCTCGAAGGCGGGCACCAAACACGCGCTTCTGGACACGCCCCGTCATATATCAGTTTCATGGAGGGACACTGTCGTGGCTTCGTGGTGCCTGCAAACCTTCCAGGAGCATCTCAACCCCATGGCACCCCCCACCCCACCCCACCCCACCCCACCCCACCCCACCCCACCCCCACCCCACCCCCCACCCCACCCCACCCCACCCCACCCCACCCCACCCCACCCCACCCCACCCCACCCCACCAAGTACCACACCTCACCAGCCAGCCGCTCCCCTCGGGCGGCCGGGCGTCCCGGTCTCGCAGAACTTGGATCGCCGCCGCTGCCATGGAGGGCACTTGGAAGGTGCAGTGGCCTCGATGCCGCTGCCATCCGATTCGCCATTCGATCCGCGATCGGGTACATGAGACCTGGGAATGTTAACAGCCAGTTGCTAGGGAACCGGTCCCCGAAAAGGGGAAAAACCGCCCGTATGGCTGAATGACCCCGAAAAAGGGAAACCACCCGTTGGATGGCTTTCTTTGAGGGGTCACCTTCCAATTCGCATTCCAATTCGCATCTCTCGCACCGATCGCGAGAGATGGTAAGAGGAATCAGATCCAAGTCCAGGGGTGCTATATGTACTTCTCTTGCTCAGCAAGCGAGAGAAAACCTGGGGATTCCCGAATCAAGGAAACCATAGGTATGGTTGAGGTCATTCCCTGAGCCCCTGCCGAGCACCAGCAAGTCGCTCTAAAGGGTTGCTCCCTTCAAACCACTTGTTTCGCCTGGCGCCAAAGGCCAAACAAACCAGGGCCATTGCCGGGGACAGGTCGAAGGGGGGTGGCTTTCAGGCTACAACCAGCCGATGGCCAGTGGGGCCATCAGTCGGGGCTTTAGGGCGGCTATTTGTTTTCCGCTTGCGAGAAGAGGGTGTGCTGGAAAACGACTGCCAAAACATCAGGCTGGAAAGGGAGGGGCCTCCAGTGCCCAGTGAGTGTGCACATAAATGGGGCCATGCATGGGCTATTCAGTATTGAAAACCGCAAGCATATGATAAGCACGCGCTGAGCAATGTGGGGAATTTTCAGCCCTCGTGCCTCTGCGGCTTTGACTCGGCCCGACTAGGCCCTCAGCCCATTCCTCGCGACTGTCCATCCTCAGTAGAATTGCAGCGCCGTTGGTTTCCGTGCTCAATGGTCATGTCCCGCACTTTGCCCGCCAAAGGTTTTCCCCTACCCACCATATACGAAGAGGGTTGAAGTAGTTATATACTGTATTGGAAGGGGGTCAATCCAATGACGCTCTTGCATTGTTCTGGTGCCCCTTAACGCTTTCAAGTCTGACACCACCCCGGCTCAATCGCAGGCTGTTCAACCGAACTACCGAACCAACTTAGCCCGAGTTGCAATCAGCACGGAGGGAACAACTGAACATGTCAACCTCAACGTCCTCCAAGGATTCCAAAAGTTTTTCTTTTTCCCCCGAGCAAATGTGCTGACCTGAGATGACCATTCTCAAAGGCTTGCCCTCCTGGGTGTGTGGTCTCCCTATGAGCTGTGCCCCCCATGCCCCAGCCCTCGCCTTTTGGAAGATCGTAAGTTCCTGGCTACCAGGACTCTTTGAGCATGCAGTTGATGCAGCTAAATGAGTCGTGCATGATTGACCATGCATCTTGCCTCAGCAAAGAAAAACGCATCACAAGTGCAAAGAGCCAACCATAATGACAACGCAACTTGAAAAGAAAAAAACACACAAGCTGTCTCTGAGACCTATCAATCACGCAACCACCGTGCAGCGCTGAACAATAACCTGCAGCAGAAATGAAAACGGGAAGCCAGAAACATGCTCGCGGAACTAGCTTTGAAAGCAACCAGAAGAATGCCAAAGTGATAGTTTGCATGCGCTATTTTTTTTGATGATTTTATCGATGCGTTTCCTCATGCAGTCGCACGCCCGCCTTGACGACACCCACCTCTGAAAATAGTGTGGTAAGCTGATCCTGGCAAAAAAAACGCAGCGTGATAGAATACGCGCTGAAATGATGGCACTCGCATGCTGTGGGAGCGCTCCTTCTGCTGCTCTGTTGCTGGTGTTGCTGTTGGTGTTGCTGTTGGCGTTGCTCTTGCTGCAGCTGCAGCAGCTGCTGCTGCTGCTGCTGTCATTGTCAGGTGGCTGTGGCTGTGGCTGTCGTTGTTGTTTGTTGTTTGCTGCTTGTTGTTTGTTGCTTGTTGTTTGCCGTTTGTTGTTTGTTTGTTTGTCTGTTGGTTGTTTGGATGTTTGTTTGTTTGCTTGCTTGCTTGCTTGTTTGTTTGTTTGTTTGTTTGCTTGTTTATTTGTTTTGTTGGCTTGTTTGTTTGATTGTTTTTTTGTTCGTTGGTTTGTTTGTTTGTTTTGGTTTGTGTGTTTGTTGCTGTTGTTGCATTTGCTGTTGCTGTTGTTGATGGTGGTGGGGTGGTGGCGTAACCATAGTAATTTCACCATTGGCTCCAATTACAATCTCAGTTGCGCTTTGCTTGCACAGGGAATAAGTAAAATAATGACATCATTACAGCAAGCCGCATGTCTTTCCCCAGTCACATGTTTTTCGTAATGATCTTCTTTGTTCACTCTTGTTTCTGCTTGCTCCCATTTGCTTCCAGGCTGACTCGAATCATGCACATCAAAGGCAAGAAAATGACCTTGGTACCACACAAGCTCTGCGATGCTATTTCGACCCTCATCCCCTTGCAAAGTCTTCAAGGGCTGCACAAAGCGGCATGAGCCAGAGCATATGACAAGGACTGCAAGCCACCGGCCGTAATTACCTCGTAGGCAGTGCTTGGCTCTCAGAAAGATTCATGGCCTGCTTCAGCCTTGTGACGGGAAGGGGAAGGAATTACGCGAAAACCAAGCGGCAGCGCACACCGAGTCGTCTGCCTTGTCAACATGGAAGGGCACATTGCTAAAGAAAACCTCAGCTTGGAGAGCGATGTGGACGGCATCAGCCAAGAGTCCAATGCTGTGGCCGGACACGTGATGCCTTTGGTTGAACCCAACCATATCTCTTCTAGTGGCACACTCGTACAGCTGAAATCATGACAGGTACAACCCATTCAAAGGTCAGCTATGTGACCATGTGTATACATACATGTCCTTTGCCTCCAAGCGTGCAATAAAACACATGATGACCCGGATGACACACAGCACATCAAAGTGGAGCTTCATACTCTTAACTAAATCGAATGAAAGTGAGCCAGCCGCTCGCACCCATGACACGTACACCATGCTCCTACATGTCCAGGCTGCATCTCTGGCTGACCTGTTTGTGATCACCTCTTTGCCAGTTCTCACCTTGCCGAGAAGTAATGCAAAGGCGCATGGCGCTTAATCGGTTGATGCGCGGGACGTGTCAAGCGAAACGGTGTGGTGAAGGGCGCGGTGGGGGAGCTTCACGGCGCCGCCCCCCACTGGACTCGATCGCTTGGGCCCAGGCTTTGGAGCTAGTCATCTGCACCGCCGGAGCGCCTCGCTAGCGTTCAGGCGCTGGGGCGAGAGGTGCGTTGGGGCGAAGGGGGTAAGGCAACCCGGCAACCCTGCCAGCTCCGCTTGTGCTTGAACGGCTATGTCTGAGGGGAGGCTAGTGATGCTAGTGATCCTCATCTAAACCCTCCCTAAGTTCCTAAGGTGTCTAAATGGGCTGGTAGGTAAAAAGCGGCCCCATCTTTCAACTTCTTCCCCTGGTCCTAAACATGAGACCCTGCGGTTCTCGTGCCTTGCATGGTCCGAAAAATTGCGAAATGGCTGGTATCCAGGTCAGCCAACTGGTGCTCGTAGCTTATAGCGGGACCAAATGCAAGTTTCGCCCATCTAGCATGATGAATTGTTGCAGGGTGCCTAAGACCAACCCACACAAGAGGCTGAAGAACGGGTAGAACCTAAACAGGGTTTTAACCTTTGACTTTACTTTCGGTGTTGTGATGTTGGCGGGTTGGACATGAAGTCGGACCCCTGATGAACCCCCCCACCACAGATGCGAGGGCCGTAGAGGAAGGGTTGCCCAAGTTCCACTGAAGGTTCTAAGGCTACATGTGTCAAAATACCGGTTTTCCCAACAAATCACACACACACACACACACACGCCTAGCCACTCTATGTCCCATAGGTTGGCGGTTGTTCGGAACGTGCCCAGGTTCATTGGCGTTCCAGCGAGTTTCTGGGCGGGAGAACCAGGCTCAGCATGTGCTGGGCGGGAGAAAGCCAAATTTTGACCATGCTCAGCATCCTCAACAGGTGACAATCAATAGGGCCGTTTTTTGGGGGCTTCCCCTTGTTTTTACTGCGGTCCCATTGCAGCAACCAAAAGTGAACAAACCCCTGGTCCCACCTTCCGGTGGAAGCAAGCAAGAGCACGGGCTTTGAAGCCATGAGTGCTGGGATCTCCCGCCTCGCGGGCCCTCCGACTTGCTGTGGGTGGAAACCCACATCGCCCTGGCCGTGGCAACTTGCTCTTGTTGGCTTTCCGGCTGCGGGAGTTGAATCCACCAAGGGAAAACGCAAGATGATCAGTTTGCCGGGCGCTAGCAGCCCAGCAGCGCAATCAAATTCAACTACACACTTGGAGGGGTCCTACCAAGAACACCCGACCGCCCATGTGATTCTGAAATGCGGGCCTCACTGCACAAGATGCGCCGTGCGTGCACCCGCAGTCAGCTACGACAGGCTAGCGTCAGCGCAAGGAACCGAGCTCATGGGCCAGTGCATCTTTCATGACCCAACCCCCAACCTAAGAGAAAGCTGTGATGTTCCAAAGGGCAGAAGCTCACTTGCCCAAAGGACTCAGAAAAAAAAGGTTAACCTTTTGGCACCTCCACTAAAAATGGACCAAAACGGGAAAACCAAAAGGTCAAAAGGTCGATTCGCTTTGGGCAACTGAGGAAGGGTACAATTGTGGCTTCTGCTGAGAAGCCAGGAAACCGCAAGGTGTACTTTTGTGATTGGATCCTCTTTGCCCGGGGTGCAATCTTGATGAAACCTTTCTAGAGCTATCAGTGTCTTCGCCGGGCCGCCGAACTTTTAGTGCCTTGCCGTTGTCCGGGGGAAAAAAACAGGCTGCTTCCCGTGAACTGAAATCGCATTCTTCCAAAGGGGGGATGCCATGGGGGGAGCTGGGGTAGGGGGGTGAGGACTGGACCATGTATATACAATTGTCTATGAATCTACATGTATATGGCCCAATGGCCAGGGGAGAAAAAGGGCATCCTTTTTCGTTGGCTGAGTTTAAAGGGGAACCCTTCCCAAACAAAAGTTGAGAAAAGGGCGGAATCCGCTGGGCAACTGGGAACGTATGCGGCATCTAACAGGTGCCTTGCCTCAACCTGCCTGAAACTCAAACTTGTGGATGAAACTACCTGTATGTCATGTGGCATTTAAAAGGTGCATCTACGCCTCAACCTGCCTCAACCTGCCTGACACTCAAACTTCAGGCGCTTATTTTTCTTCTTTTAAACATATATATATATATGTGTGTTTTGTTTTTTCCCCGTTTTTCCCCCCCTCCCCCGCAGCCTGTCGGCGATCTGGTAGTCCCTGAGGTTCTGCACTGCGTACTGCACCGACTCCGGGTCCGCAAAGGTCACGACCCTGGCGGCAACCGCGTCGGTTGACTCAAATGCGCGTGGCGTAGAGAGGAACAAGAGACATATCCCGAGCCGAGCATTGGCTTTATGGTTTGCTTCGTTGTTTTCCCCACAAAATATATTCATTTGTTTAAAAGAAAGAAAGAACGCAACATGCATGTGGTGGTTTCTCTATATATATATATATAAAGAAAAGAACTAAAAACAACGCGGCTTTCTATTTGACAAGAACAACCATGGATGAGGCAAATTCATATCAAGCCACTTCGTTGCTGCCATGGTCGATGCGCAAGTGGAAATCGAAGGAGCCAACTTCGGGCCGTGCTTTGGTCCATGGGCGCTGGTTGGAGTCTAATTAAGCATGCCATTTTTTTTGAACCTTTTTAGTTGGACAGTTTGGAGGGCCCACGCGAAACTAATCACTAGGGGCCAAGTGCTGTCACACACCTTTGAAACCATAGCGCGCCCATGTGCACATGGCGCAAACGGTTTGGCTCTTGCGCGGCCGCCCTTCACCAAACATGCAACACCAAAAGGAAGGGACTCATATGCTGAGAAAACCACATATTTGTTGGTGGCATGAGCAGCATAAATTTCACTGGCAAAACAACCTATGTTGCTCAGAACCATGCTAAAAAGCAATGTCACTCTTGTGTTTGGAGCACCCGCCTCACAGCTTCATTGACTTCAGTGCTCCTGACTAAATTGCCTGCACGTCGCGTGAAGTGTGCTTTGCCATAAATTCACAGAAACGTTTTCAGCTTGTCTTCTCATGACTTTGTTTGTGCAACGGGGCAAGCACTAAAAACCGACAAGCTTACTACAGATCAATTCACCCGGGGCATGATGTGCCTACCAACTCATCCTGCACCAAGTCAACAGCTGCTCGCTCCGTGTTAATCCAAACGTCCGGAGGAACTAAAACTACAGGCCGAAAAAGACGCCCCCATACGGTCCCCGCCAAACAAAGCTTCCCTGGAACCCGCCGCCGTTCACAAACCGAGAATTCATGCACAGAGCCTCTCCGAAAAGCGAAGGATTGGCCACCGAAATTTTTCAGAAATCCATTTCGGGCTCCTGAATCATATCGGCGCCTCTCGTTTTTGAGGGTACCTAGAGTCTCCATAACCCTTAAAAAACTGGGTCATTACCTAAAATAACGGGGTCGTTGACCCATTCTTATTTCGGGTCATGGAGACTCCAGGTAGCCCTTTTCTGGCGGCTTAAGGGAAACCGAGAGGAAAACCCCATTTCGCGGGGCTCCATCACAAGCAGGCCCCACGAAACACATCCAGGCCCCGGCTTGAGGACATGGTCTCGTATTGAGGTAGTACCCTTTTCGGGTTGGTTTTCTGAGGGAAACGAAAGGAACCGGTTCTTGGGCTCCCCCAAACTTTGAGCCTAAGTCCCCTTCAAGTGACTCATCCCAGCCCCTGCGCCATCTCCGAAGCGGGGCAGCGGCGCCCCATGCCGCGGCTCTCGCCCGTCTTCTGGCGGAAGAGTTGCAATTGCAGGACGGTGCCCGCGCGACTGAAAACCTGCGAGGCGTGGAGCGGCAACTTATGTTTCCCAACAACAACCATGTAATGTGTACCTACTGCACAAATGGGCAATGCTTCCCAACAACAACCATGTTTGGATGATTCGCTCTGGGCATCTTCAAGGAAAACCAGCCCATTCGCCACCAAATCGATCGAAACCGCCCGTTGCGGGGGTTTGGTGATTGGATGAATCGCCGGTCTGGAACTCAACTTTGCCAGGGGGTGATTGCGATCTCATTATTTTCAACCATCGTCCATTCAAAAAGAAGAAGAAAAACACCGTTTTCCCTCGGTTTTTCCAAGGTTTTCTAGAAAGAAGGATCCCTGGAAAGAATGGGGAAGGTATCCCTAGAAACTTTGGATGATTCGCTCTGGACATCTTGTCCCTTTGGGCTTCCCTTTGGGGACATTCAGCATTGCGGGCTACTTGGCGGCTGGTCTTACTTTCAATCTTGGAGGATCAAACACGCCAACAACTTGAGGGCGTGTAAGGCCGCCGCTAGAGTTGTGTTTTGTTTGTGGGGGACGCAGGGCCTTGCATGTTTTGCAAGCTGGCACAACCTTCTCAAGCTTCACCTTCTTGCTCGCCATGAGAATATATATATATATATATATACATGGTTGCCAAAAAGCCTCAAGGAGAACAGATTTCTTTCTTCGCCTTGCCAGGCTTCAGGTGCCAGGTGCCCTTCACCAAAGCGATTTGGATGAGAAGGCCAGAAAGGAGCTCCCGCCTCCTGCAAAGTCTCCTCCGTAGTGCCTGCCGTAAAAACCGCCTTCACAGGTAAAGAAGGGACAGCGCCAGCATTTGCAGTAGTCTTGGCCCCTTGCCGGGAAAAGCTACGCGTACATCGCGGCTGTTGCTTTCTACCCCAAGGGGTGGGATGTTAAATCGCAATCCGGATTCCAAAATTCCAGCATAAGGAGGTACCGAACTTGCTACTTACTGCTACTTACTGCTACTTACTGCTGCTTACTGCTACTTACTGCTACTTACTGCTACTTACTGCTACTTACTGCTACTTACTGCTACTTACTGCTACTTACTGCTATTTGGACAACCTGGAGCTGCTACTTCCATTCTTGCAGGTAAGTTGGAGCAGTACCGAACTCGTCGCGTCGTGATTCGAAGCAATGCCGAAGAATAGGACAGCATTCAGGTACTCGCCAGGGCGATTGGTCTTAGGTAAGCGGAGCCAGAAATAGTTGAAAGCCGCAGTGAGTGCCAAGAAGCACAATGTTATAAAACTCTTGCCACTGAGACCACCAACAAATCAGAACATCTGATGCCTCTTGGTGATACTGTTTGCATACATCATCATTGCTTACACAAAAACATACAGACGACAAGTAGCGCGGAACAAACCGAAACATGACGAAGTGCGGCCACCTTGTACTTGTTGTTCTCAGTGCTTTTCCACGAGAGGTTTCAGACTAGAGGAAGGGTGCCACGCCGCGGAAATCCAGGGAACGACCTTGTGACATCACTGGAATCATACTATGGACGACTCGGATGTGCAGAACAAGCAGTAGAAAGACTCCGGCGCCGAGTGGGTCAAATGCTTGCTGGCAAGGTATCGTATTTTGATCCCGTCGTTCTCGGTGGGCGGGCTTTGGTGTTGGCTTGCTCAAGCCGGCTGTAGGTGCCTCAGAAGCAACAACAAGTCAACGACGGCCCAAATAAGTGTCCAGTCCAACACTTCGCCCACTCTGAGCGTGTCGCTATCGTTTTGTCTCCTCCTCCTTGCTTTGCAGCTGTGTTGCGTTGCATGGTTGAGAATTAAAGGGCGTGCCTTCACATAATGAAGGGGTCTTCAACATACGGAGGCTCCAGCAACTCACCGGCCATACAATAAGCCGGCAAGGCTGTATGGCACATTGCTGAAGAACACCTCCTTCGGCAGCGCCATGGGCCTAGCGCAAGCTACAGCCAGGGCTTGTGACGGGCTTGTGCCCCAGGAGTCAGCTAGAGGGGCCCGGGGGAATCAACAGCACAAGCAACGTCACTCCCCTGAACCTGATTGAGCCCAAGCAGTTATCTCAGTCTCAGGATGTTCACTTCTTTCTTTGATTGTGGTTGGGGCGCCCTATTCATTTTTTTTTGTTAAAAAGAGGCTTGCAAATAGCGGTGAGCATTTGAACAATAGTAGCTACAGTTGGAATGATCCACGCGATTACCCTTCTACCATGCTCCAAAACCCGCCAGCCACGGGGCGCGCCTGCGCCTGAATGATCAGTCAGAACACTGCAATCGATGGAGGCAAGCTGGTGCTATGTTGCTGGCTCAGTCACCCTTCACAGTTGCCTCGATGTATTGAGGGTGTGCAAAAGACCTTCCATCAAAGAATGTCTCTACATTTCTATCCAAACAGCTGGCAATGCCGCGGCGCCGCGGAGCGAGCGCAATCCTTGCAAGGCCAAAGGCCGAGCGCAAACAACGGCCGGGCACCTCGCCCAGGTCCAGCTGAAAAACGTTGAGCTGAGCGGTGGCGCCCTTAAAGGGCTTAAGCAAGTTGAGGTCCTCAAGTTATCCCTGCAAGTTGCCCAAAACAACAACCGTAATCTTGGTTGACGTTGGAAGGGGAGCAAAAGTTTAAATTCTAGCAGTTAAGTGGGGATTCCCCACTAAACAACAATAAGCAAAAGTGCAAAATGTTCCCAACAACAACCATGTAATGTGTACCTACTGCGCGAGTTGAGCCACGGCATGTCCCGTGACTGCATAGTTGAGGGGTAGCAAAGGCTCCCGACACAAAAAGTACCGTGCACAACTCGACGGGCCCGGGGTTTCCATGTCGCCCCAAAGGCGAAGCCACTGACTCCGCGTTGGTAAAACTGCCACATTTCAAGCACCAACCACCAACCATACCTCGCGAAGTGGGGCACGTCAAACCCACAAGGAAATAAAACCAAGAACTCCAGGTCAAGTTGACTGCTTAGCACTTTTCTCTTGTTCCGCTTGTTTTTTCTTTTTCTCCAAGGAACTCGCACCCAGCCCTGTATGCACCACTGAATTAATTTGCAATGCCTAAAGTACATTCAAAGCAATGTACAGGCTGCAGACACAACCTGATGTCTTGCAATAACTTCCTACCGAGACGCCCAAGTTGGACCGAGACCGTCATCCTGAGAGAAACGGGTTAATGCTTGCCCTGTGGAGAAATGGCCGCTGTGGTGCACAGTTTTGTTTCATCCGAGCCACGGTCAATACTTGTGCTGTCCCCAACTGACACTGGGAATGTGGTTAGTATCTTCCTGTCCCTGTGGCAGTTTGTGTGGTCCCCTTGCACACCCCTGGCAAAAAAGGTAGATGATGGTGACTATTCACGGTTGCCCATGTGACAAAGAGAGTTTGAGGATGAAGCTATCAAGCAACACATCCTCTCCCGCAGGCCTCCTAAAACAAATCATGATATATACAGCCACTACAATAGCCATCCTGTGAAGGGGATATATCCCAATAAAAACCCCTGAGGTGGTTTGGAGGTAGTGAAGCCCATCTTAGACTGCCATACAAAAGCGACCATCCTTTGTGCTGTGGCCCTCGGCTCAGCATCGAATTGAGACATGGAATAGGTATCTCTGGGCATAGAGATGCGCCGCGATTTGAGAAACAGCGATTTGGGGCAGTGTGTTTTTTTTGAGGGTGCCCTTTCTGCTTTGCTTTAAACCAAAAAGGTCAACCGAGGTCCCCTAAAACTCAGACAATTGAATCTCTTGCGAGCCGGACTGCCAATCTGATGGATGGGGAGATATATATATATATATTATAAAACACTGGAAAATACAGGTCAAACACACCAAAACAGGGTCCATGGATGGGGTACCATATATATATATATATACAATCCCCAAAAAAAACATAAAAAAATAAATCGGCGGCCGGCCATGGAAAGACCAAAAAGTCACAGCTCTGCCAAAGCGAAAGCTGGCCACACTTCCACCCGCGGCAACGCCAGTTTTTGGCGCTTCTTTTTGGGCCGGAGGTTCAGCGGGCAACGGCGCCTTGGGCACACGTGGCACAAGCCGCCGCAACGTGTGCTTTGGCTGCACGAATTGAAATGCCTAGGGATGCCTGATCAAATGTGTTTTGCAGTTGGATACTTGTTCACCGACCCAGAGAAACCCACAACAAAAACGCCTCAATTGGGTTTGCATGGGTTTGCAACTTGCGCTGTTTGGAGGTCTCAGAGGCGTGGCGGTTGGTCCCTGGGCTGCGTGCCATCTACGCCCTCTCGCAGTCGCGCGATGGCCTGCGGCAAGGTCTGGCGGCCCTCGCTGGACTTCTCAAAAAAAGTCCTCCGTGACTCACTCGAGGTTTCAAAAAACCCTCAAGGAAAGCAAGCGGAATGATTCAGCAAATGGCATCTGATATCTGACATCTACAAGAAAGCCCCGGGTTGATGTAGTGTCATCCTTAGGACGTAGAATTAGTTCGGAGTCGCAGGCAAAAACAACACACCACAGACCTGCCATACAGGAAGTTGTTGCCACACCGCAAGTTGCCCACGGACATCTTGTCAAAGTGGCCACCCAGGCCAACGGAGATGCGAGCCAATGGTCAGCTGCTGTCTGTGTCCATTTGCGTTTTCGCCCCCTGGAAAAATACAAACGTACGTACCGATATCGCGGGACATCTCCTTTAAAACCAACAAGGGGACAATAAACACTATTCTTAGGCAAATGGAAGTTAAACGAAGCATGGCGCTCATCATGAGTTGCGACACTACATCTCGTCGAATCTCGTCAGGAGCCTGAAGGTTATTACACAAACCTGGTTCGCTTGAAAACTTGCCCCCACATGGGTGGCGGTGCCTCCTTCCCGGATGCCCTTTCCAGTTGGCAAATACTCAAAGGCGGCCCAGCTGTAAAGAAAACAGTTACTCACCGGCTGAGTGGATGGCCCCAAAAAAAGTCCAAACTTTCTACTTTACCACTAACATGGTCTTCCCAAAAAGGTGACTAAAGTTCATGAAGTCAGGAAGTGAGAACATGGATTCTACTGTTGCCCCACCGCCCGGCACCCAACACGTGCGAATGCATCTACTTCTACCGCCGTCACTAGTTGACCCTGGATGAGCCGAACCGCCACAGGGCTCATATGCAGCGCCTCTGCATCCGCAGGGCTGAACACGCGCACGCCCATGCCGCGGAAGCCCTCAGGACGAGTCATCAGGTTTACTCAGCCTTTGGCCAAGCAGCTGAAATGGCGGAACTGAAGTGGCCATGGGTCAAAATCCAAATAGTACATCCCAGTCCCCAATAAAATAAAGACTAAAATGGGTGGTGAATTCACCTACCCATTGGTTTTGACCCACAGCCAACTGTTGCTTGTCCCGTTATCCCCTGTCTGAGAGGAACATTGGGGACACGAGAAGCAGAGAATTGGTGGTGAGTGGCACTTGGACCGAGACATGGATTCGGCATCAGTGCGTTGGTCCTTTACGCCGACATGTTGCAAATGGAGTCAAATAGAAGAGCCCCCCCCCCTCACCTCTGATTGGAGGATCGAAACAGCCACAGCCTGCGCGTGAGGACGCAGTTGGACACCACACGGCTAGTTTTGCAGGAGTCAGGTCTGCTTGAGCAATCGGCAAGATCATCTGATCGCGGTGCAAAGGATTCAAACGGCAAAACCGCGTCCAAGTCCCTGATCCGCGAAAATACCAGCGTGCAACACTGTGGAACGACTTAGCGTGTGGCGTTGCCAAAGGGCGGAACCCCCACGTCACCAAGACAAACTTCCAGGACACGGCCAAGCCTCCCGCCTGCGCAAACTCCAGCTGGAGCTTCTAAACCTCCGCACACGGCGAAAACTGCAACAGGCTCGGAGCCATGGTCTATGGAAAAAGAGTCTGGGGTCCGGGGTGCAGTATGAGGACATATTGAGCTATCCCAACTGAGAGCAGGTATGCGCTGAACATATGCATCGACCTGTGATGCCGGCATCGGGCTGCTTCATGAAACCAACGCGCAACCCTGTGATGCCAGGCTGAGCTATGTCAACCTGACTCAGCTCCCAATGGAAAAACCAACTGGTGCCCAACACCCCGCAAACTCTGATGCCAAGGCATCGACTTAGAGCAAGCTGTCTGATCAATTTCGACCTGAAGGACATGGAACTTGAGGTATAGATCCCTGTGCCGGTGCTTGGGCTCTGAACATATGGACATGGCATGAGACATTGAAGCGTGCCCGACATGTTAGTCAGCATTTCTTTGGGCAAGCCCATGGCTAGGATTGAACAGCTTTGCCGCGCCGTAGTTGCTGAACGAGGGGCGATGCGACATCCTGACCGCTTCCTTTTCTGTCCGAAGAAAAGGTTACAGCTTTCATCCAGATAGTGAATGGCATGTGGGATCCCACGTTTGCCTCCCCAATTATGTATTTATGTATGTATGTATGTATGTATGTATGTGCCTTCCACGCAGCAAAACCTTAGGCCAACTCCTTGGCACGTCCAAGTGATGGCACAAGAACAAGTGACTCAAAAGTCCATCTTTTGGAAGTGAGCCGTTGAAATTGCAGGATCCTGAGCTTCATGATTCCAAGGACCGGGAAATGCAGTGAACCCTGGCGGGTTATCTTTAACTGGCTGGACTACCAAGACTCGGTTACTTTCTGCTCCCCTGCTAAAACTTTAACTTTTAGTGGTTTAGTAGAAAACCCATTGGTTGGCAACAAGTTAAAATCCTAACAGCCCTTGGCAAAATGCACCAAAGAAGAGCCGGGCTGCCCCTTGGCACCCATGGGGTTTTGCAGCTACGATTGCCATCAGATTCCGATCCCTTCATTGAAAGCTGTGCCCCCTACCCCGCGCTCCGCGGAGTCGGACTTCTCGGCAACCTTGGCCGAGTGGACAGGCGTGTGTGTGCGCTCTCATGATTGACAGCCGCACAACACGATAACCGAACAAACAAACAAACACACAAAAGGAATACATGCATACGCACATAAATGTACATAAGTGTATGAATATACATAAATGCAATGCATACTCCACAAAATCGACATTGCGCCCAAACGGTCATAATACATTAACATGTTGTACACATACAAATGCAATTGCAAACAGCCATGTAAAGTACACAGCCAAATAAACACGTAAGTGAAGAGACAACAAAAAAATAAAGCTGCAAACAAAACACGTCAGTCTTTGGTTTGGGAGTACCTCTGTTTGTTGGTGGTTGCAAAAAGAAACCAAAACGGAAGCCACTCAGTTGCCGGGGAGGGGGGGGTCCCTCATTACAGTCTAACAGAAATAGTTCAATAAGTATATATATATATATATACTTATTAGAAAATAATAAACAAATAACTGACTAAACAGTTCGATATGATTACACATACGTAAACAAATCAACAATACATATGTCAACAAACAAAACACTAACTACCTAACGAACTAACTAACTGAACAAACAAAGCAAACCAGCAATACGTAAATGAAGCAATAATACAAATGTGAACAAAGCATATAACCAAACACATGCATGAAACACAATTAACACACACAAACAAAATTAACAAATTAACTAATACATAGAATAACTACATACATAAGTACATATATATATATATATATTACACATAGGCACATGTATAATATATAAGCGATATGAGCAAAACCAAATAACAAGCAACAGACTTTGAAAAAGGCAACTCTAGATAAATATGTCAATATTATCTTAAACACTGAAGCCAACAAACAAAGCAAAACAAACACACATTCCAAGCGAATCCTGCTTCTCTCCGAAGCTTCGCCAATGTTCGTTCTCTCGACTTTCAACCGGAGTGTGACATGGTCATATGCCAGGGTCCTGCCGAAAGCCGTGGAACCGTTGTGTAAAAGCACTGCCGGACCGTTACTCCGGACCATTGTGAAACCGCTCTGTCTCGAACAGAGCAGTGGCAAATGCACTATCTTCATTGGTGGTTCTGCTACAGGCATTGCTCGCATTTTCCGATGAGGATTTAGGTGCACAATGGCAACGTCCAGGTGCATGAACACGACGTGGCCTCTTTTCCCTTTGGTACCAAACCAGTCCTAACATTCACAAGCTGACTGTGTCTGGGCCATTTCCATTTCCCACTCTCCCGCCATCACAGTGAGTCTACAAGACAAACCAGGGGCTCCAGGAAGCTTAGAAGCCAAAAAGCCAAGCCAAAACGACAGGAAAACAGCAGGAAGCCAAACCAAAAAGCTAAAAGCCAAACAGCCAAAGCTACAAAAGTCACCAGCGGCCTGAAAAAACACACAATCCTGAAAACATGGCCCTCCGTTGAAATCTGCTCAAAGAGGCATCAACGTCACAACGCTTAAAATTTACAACCTTCAATTGGAGTGGACACGCTATGGGTTTTCCAAAACGGCTGGACCGTTTACACGAGCCTCTGGCGCACCCCCTACTTGGGCTACCAGGCACGTTGCCTTGAATAAGACGCGACGCGGCCAGTCGCCGCCTCGCAGTCAAGGCTGTGAATGGGAGCTGGGCGTTCCAAACGTCCCGTTCAATATTCTACCTGCAATGTTGGTGTTGGTATCATTTGCAGCTTTTGGGAGCGCATTTGCAATCGCCAAGAAAAGGCCAACGCTACCCGGGGGGGGGGGGGTGCCAGGAGAGGGGGGGGGTGCAAGGGGGGCGGGGGGCTGCAATGAGTGAAGCATTGAGAGGCGTATCGATTGGCACCAACGCATTGAAGGCACATGACCTGGAAGCGGCTTGGCGCAAGCAAAGGGAGCACATCCCAGTCTGCCAACTTTGCAGCTTCAACAAAGTCTGTGGCACCTCGGCTCAAGCTTTCTCTTTTCTCAGCGGGGCGGTCGCGTCATGGCTAGCGCTTTTCGCGGCTCGCCGCGAGCCGCCCGCCATGAAACCGTGCCGGCACGCCAGATACACGACACGGCCAGGTGCTTGGCGGTTGAGGCTGGTCGTCAAGTGCAACGCACCTAACCTTCCCGGGAACGGAAATAGCGGAACCTTTTAATGAATGTGATGCATGCGGTTGCGATAAATGCATGCATGTTTTTTTATACCTGAATCCATCTGCTCTTGTCGCTAGACATCAGGGATCGTGGTGGGTTCGAGGGGTTCCCTCGAATGCCCGATTCAAGCGATGTTGATGATAAACAACCAATTCGTTGATGCATGCCTGCAACTCAAACAAGTTTATACATCGTCACAACCTATACGTGCTTGCCGGTCAGCCAAGAAAGTTGCAAGTAGAAGTGGATGTAGGCATTCATTCACTGGGGAACAAATGGGCATGTCTATTTGTCAGGGTACCCTTTCATGGTGTTAAAGGGACACCAAAGGAACACCTTTTGGAGCCCCCTTAAAAAGACACACCCACATATCTCATGGGTTACCAAGCATCAACCCCGGGGTGCAGTGTTCATGGCTCGCCAGGCACATCCTTCTTCACACGAACCTTGCGTCTTGACGTCGGCATCTCCACCACCGGTCGCCTGCAACTGATGCTCAAGCGATCGATTCACTGAGTCACTATGAGCCCTTTATTTGGGGATGGGAAGGCTGATGCTGAGCAGAGGGTTCAACATGGTCAACAAAGCTCGGCGGTATTCGAGAGGCTCACCCCTATGCTGATCATGATTCCTGGTGGACCCAAATCAACAAAACAAACCTGTGCACCGGAATATCTCGGTTTAGCGGACAATCTGCTGACTTTATCACGTCTCGGCAGGTGCATTTAGCACATGGTGCGTACCCAGGATTTACACCAACTTTTCTGTTCCGTCTGCTTGGGCTTTGTGTATGGACTTGCCCTGTTTACCGGAGAATACCCAAAAACTTCTGCAGCGCAGGGTAGGTTTGGCCTATTCGTGTGTGTGGGGGCATGGGAGAAGACAACAGGCATCACCGAAGGGTTCAAGGCGTCGGACAAAAAACCACCACCGCCATCCGCAAAGGCTTATGCTTGTGACATCGGATTTTCCCAAGTAAGTTAACTTAGACGAGGACAACTCATGTCGTTTGTTGACAGCGGGATTGCCCGGCGGGCTTTGGAAAAAGGGCGGAAGCTCAATTGACAGTGCCACGCTTCAAGTTCCGAGGCTTCCCGACGTGCCATTCTCAGAAAGAAAGGCTTGCAGCTTAGCTTCAGACTTGCTTTCTGATCAGACCAAAGGCGCTGGTTGGATGTGGTCGAAAGGGTGCTAGGCACGTTGCGAACCTGGCAATGGTTGATGGTTGTTGCTGACTTGAGCAATGTGCTGTTCCCCTACGTCCCCAGAGTTGCGTAGTCAGGAACACTGTGTTCCCTGCATGGTCGGACAACACAATGCCAACATAAACAAAGTTTAGAGGCCGCAGCCTCAAAAGCAAGCTACCTTGTCAAGCTCCCCTTCTTCACCCTAGCAGTGGATTGATGCGAGCTCTCTGAAGGGCAGGGGTAGTGGAGTCTTGGGCCCCTTTTTTTGCTTCCAAGGGTTGGCAGAAACCCGGTCCCTCCCCCAAAAAACCGGCCACCTCCGGCCACCAAGCTGTCCCATAGCCCGGCCGCCCAAAATAAGAAAAATACCGACCCGTTTCCGAGGCCCGGGGCCCCACTTGACTTGAGCGAGCGGCAGGTGTGCGAACATGGGGTCGCAGAGGATCCGATCATCTCCGGGGATCAATTGCCGTGGCCCCCGCCGACTTTTCATGTGGCTCCTCGGGAGAAATTTCGCAGCTTCCAAAAACGCCAGGACCGCCTTGCATGGAAAACACATCCATCCTGGAGCTGGTACATGCAAGAATGCTCAAAAAGGCAGTGAGAGATCCTAACATGGCCATGTACCATGGAGTCGGCTCGGTGCATTCTCCAGGACTCCATGATTTCGCTCCAAGTGGCCACAGCGGCTCATTCTTCCTTGCCCCAAAGCCTCAGTCGGAATGCTGTGAGCTTTCTTTGACGTGCATCTCTTCATCCCTCCTACGGCACAGGTCTAGTGGCAAACTGGAACCCCCCCCAACGGCGCGAGGGCATGCAAGCACTTGGCAGGCTTGCATGAACAGTGCTGTCTGGCGCGAGTCTGCGAAATCCGTGAGCTCAAATGGACTAGGTCCTCCAGTAAAAAGGTTAGAATAAGGGTAACCCTTTTTTCTGTAGTCTATTTTAGTAAGGGAACCCTCCCCCAAAAAAGAAACGGTAAAAGAAACGGCGCTACCGTAGAGGAGATCGATCCCATGCAGCGCGCATGCGCAGTGCCTTATTGCAGGCCCCGAAACCGAAACTTCCAACACCGAGCGGCGGATCTCGCAGAAGCGACCGCCCTGGGGGCAGGGGCGCCAGCGCCCGGCCAAGTTGTAGCTGCCTTTGCCCAGAAGCTCATCCTGAGCTTCTGCACTTGAGTGCCGCTCAAACCCCCAGCAAAAAGTTCTAAACTTTTGGCTGGCTAAAAAGAAATATGAGGGTGGCTAAAAGGAAACATAATGGGAATCCAAAAAGTAGCGGTAGAGGAGTCAGGCTCAAGAGGTCATGGGTTTTCGTGTTGATTCTCAGACTCTGCATTGCTTACATGCCCGGGAAACATAGCAGATTCCCCCCCGGGTGCTTGTACCAATGTCGCTCTCCAGCTGAATCAATCAGGTCAAAAGCTTTTCAGGCGCTGGCCACCGTGCTCGCGGACGGTCCCATGTCAAACAAGCACTCAGGAAACTGCCCCTGGAAACGTTCTCCAATGATACGTTTGGAACTGAGGCTTCCAGCCAGCCGATGTATCAGGTACGCAAGTCAGGTATGCAAGGTATTCAAGGTCTGCAAGGTATTCAAGGCCAGCCTGGAGCTGATGCGGCCTCTTCGGGGCGCTGTTGATTCAAAACTAGCCGCCCCTCCCTCCTCCCGCAGCTTTGCCAACAACAAATCCGCCTCTCGCGCTGGCTCTTGCGCTGGCTCTTGCGCCTGGGGCCTTCGTCCGCCTAAAGCCCACAAAGCCCTCCCTCCAGCCGACAGAAAGCCCCCCGGCAGAAAGCCCCCCGGCCCCACCGGCCCTGCCTTCTCCAGCGCCCAAACCTCGCAGTTGGAAGGGTTCCAGACCTGCTCGAACTCCTCCCGCACTCGCGCCACTCGCTCGGGGCGAGGCGCTGGGATCCAACGCGAAGCTCAAGGATCCACCGCGAAGGGCCAGGGATCAGCGCCGGCCAGCGGATTTCTCTGGATGGAGGGTTCGTTTTTCGATCTGGGCTTCCCCCAAAATGAGTTGGCCCCACCCTTTGGCCTTGCCAAACGGGCAAAGAGCCCCATAGCGATCACACATATATATATATATAGCCATGTGCCGACGAGGGGGGGAAACAGACCTCGGGAACTCAAAGTTGCAGGTGGGGGCAAAGCCAGGTGGTCCTCAGGTCGTGGCTGATACGAGGTCAGAAGCTTGAGGGGAAACAATCTTGACAGCAGCAAAAGCAAGGCCCACATGCTTTTGCTAATGCCTGTCATTGGGTCTAGCTCAACTAGGCAACCCCCCACCCCACCCCCCCCCACGACTTCTGCAAGCCCACTGGGCCACTGGGCGAGGTGCATGCTGGGCATGCTGATGCCCGTCCTCCACAGTCCAGTGGAAATAGACCATGCAGAAAATGCGCATCAGCAGGCCATGAGACACGAGCACCAGGTTCTCTACTGGGGACTTGTCCTTGGTCCCGAAAAACGAGATGAGTGGCAACAATGGACAAGTTCAAGTGGCGACAATGGAACGAGATGAGTGGCGTCAAGTTGAACCCAGAGGCCCAGTGGATGTCCATGGGAAAAAAGAATCGGCATCCTTTTTGGCTGGTTGACGTTAAAGGAATCGGAACTGTTCCACCACAATAAAGGAAATCAAAAGGGGCACCACTGGGCAACTGGGTGAAGTGCCCGCCACCCGCCACACTATGGGAAGCCTTAACCTCCAAATGACCCGGGCGATTGTGTTGACGGGGCATCTTTGCGCCTGCAAGGTTTTGGCAACCCAACAACTTTTCTGGAGCAAGCAACGCAACGAGTGACCCAAAATAGATTGAACGAACACGGTCTCTGCTTGCTTCTGAAAGTTGTGCAGGATATTTGAGTGCTAACCCGTCCTTGGAACAAAGATCCCCTGAGTGGAACTAGTTTGTCCAACATCCAAAGTCGCCAAATCCTTTATAGGGGGAGCCTATCTGGGGACAGAGGGCTGCAAAGGACCAAAAAGGAAGGAACCCCAGTTAAAAAACATCCAAGGGGGATGCTTTTCCTCTTGGGAAAGGGTCCCCTTTTATTACCTCTTTTATTGGGGGGAAGGGAGTACTTGGGGGAACACCTCGTGCCATGTAGAGAGGTAGCAACATCCATGTCGGATAACCCAGGTGAACCACGCTAGCTTGCTCAAATGACCCGATGCAATGTGCCTGTTCTGCCCATGGTGAAATGCCAGCCAGGCATCTTCGATCAAATCCTGCCCGTCTCATCTGCTATGCACCATTTGCCCAGGACCCTTCTCTCTGTCATGAATGCTTAAAACATCTCTTCGACTTCTCCATCTGAAGCTTCATTTGCTTAAGCCCCACTGGAAAAAAACAAACAATAAATCCAGTAGTGATATATTCCCTTTAAAACCAGAGGGAAAAGTAAAACATATTCTTAAGCAAATCGAAGGAAGGCTTGAAACAACACCTCGCTTTGGACCCAAGTTCCCTGTGACGCCTTTTTGCCCATTGTCAACCGAGGCCGAACGAAGAAAGTGATTAAACGTATCTGGCGGAGAGCCGTCAGGGTAATTAGCGGGCGAAAAGAACACACACGAGATACCAGTCGTTTGTCTTCCCCCCACAACCCCCCACAACCCCCCACAACCCCCCACAACCCCCCACAACCCCCCACAACCCCCCACAACCCCCCACAACCCCCCACAACCCCCCACAACCCCCCGCAACCCCCCGCAACCCCCCGCAACCCCCCACAACCCCCCACAACCCCCCACAACCCCCAACCCCCAGGGAAGTTTCCATGGACTCGTCTGGGAAAAGGTCTATCGACCGCCCGCCTCTTTGAATTTCCCCCTTGGATCCGTTCGCGTGGCCATGGACCGCAGCAAGCTGGACCAGAAGTCGCTGACGCGGTCGAAGACATCCGTGCCAGCCTCTCCTGCGAAGCGGAGATGAATCCAATGTGAGGCGGACATTGACTCAATGTGTGTTTTTTTTTTTTAGTTTTCTTTTTTTTTTTCTGGGGGGGGGATGCTGCTTCCACTAGGCGTTGACTCGATTTTGTCTTCCTTTGTTTTCTGGTGGGGCGCCGGAGGGATTCTTAGGAAGGATCCTGTTTCCGAGAAGCATCGGCGCGCGCTTTTTTTTGGTTCAGAGCAGTCGGTGCCATGAGACGCTGAGACAACTTGAGCGGGCTGCACAAATTGCCTGCACATGGTTGCCGCTGTGCTGTGGCAAATAAATAAATATATATATATATAATATATATAAAACCTTTCCAAATGCGCGGGTCCGAAACCATCCGCGAGCCATCCATATATATATATATATATATATGTATTGCAGTATCAGTATTATGTTATTTTTATTTTTACTTTTTAAAAATGGCCTCAAGGGGCTCTGGAAAAGCGTTTCCACTCACAGATCTGCAAAGCTTTACAGTGGCAACCTCTTTCTTCGCGCAGGTGTGCACTGCTACGCCGCCACAACCACCCTCAAACGTTCACGTGGAAAAAGTTCCGCCAGCTTGTTTTGAATGCCAAGCGGGCTTGCCATGGTTTGTTGTCAGCTGGTGTCAAGAAGAGGCTGGCGCAGGAACTCGAGCCAACCAGTCACGTCACATTTCAGCAAAGGAGGGGTTCGTCCAAACTTGTCAGACGGAAAGTCACTTGGAGGTTGAAAGGAAACCATCGTTGACCACGGTACCTCAGAAAGCCGTGGCTTGACCAGTCAAGCCGCCGTTGGGGAAGCGATAGTAGAAGCGTCCGAACTGTTGCCGCTCGCTGTAGACCTGAAGCCCCGCCCCCGTTTCACTGATGCTGAGCCACTGAGCATGAGGCCAAAAGTATCAGAATGTATCAAACATGAACATCAGATTCAGAGTTGTATGTTGACCTTTCAATGCTAAACAAGGGTGCATGCTAAGCGTGCACACTGCAAGCCATGGCCAAAGACTCATATCCAGTCCAGGGTCAAAAAGGGACCCAACCCCCAGCAGCCCATGACCACCCAATGGAATTCGAATGCCTCCTAACTTTGGTTCAGCTACAAACAAAAGCTGTTGTTAGCCTTCAGCTGGCACCATTGCACATGCAGCTTGTATAAACACTGATTGGTGTCTAATAATTTTATCTTACCTAGCAGCTCTCGCTTTAAAAATTGTTTTGACAGATGTGTAAAGGTCGACCTCCAACTCGGGGCGGGTCAAGTTCCGTGCTTCCCATGCCTCATTAACAACTTGAGGTTCCCTCCGCTGTCCAGTTTCAGCGAACTGAGACATGTCTTACGCGTGCATACGTGCTCTTTCAACAAGGCCCGGGTGTGGGAGACTTATTTTGGTTGAAAGCCACTGTGCTCGCACCAACAGTTATTTCCTTTGTTTCGCAAACGCTCGCAGCAAATTCTCTGCGTAAGCTCTCCGTGCAATCCATCCGCACAACCCCGCCACAGACCCAATCTTAGCAGTCCTTTCGGCAGCTAAGCCTCTCAAGCTACCCAACGCGCTAAAAGCAGATTCAACGCCAGGCCTTCTCCATTGCCTCCACGTTTTGGAAGTTCCCAAAGTCCTGCGTTGGGGCATGCCGTTCAACCATGCCCACGGGCCCTTGTCAGGAGCACGACTGTCAAACTAAGTCCTGCACAGGTCCCTGGGTATCCGGTGCCCTCCCCTTCATCCAGGAACTCTGATGTCTAAAAATCGGGTTGCCTCTGTTTCCAAGTGACTTCAAGTGACTTTCTCAAAGCGTTGTGACGGCCGCTCCAGTTCTGAGACAAAAACCCATGTGGCCCCTTTCCAACCCTTAGCCTTCAAAGGCCTCCATGGCGCGAAAGCACGGCCCAGGCCAAAGCAAACTTCCGCCCACTCATTGCCAGATCTAGCATGATGACGATGCTGCTGATGATGATGATGATGATGATGATGATGATGATGATGACAATGATGACGATGATGATGAGAACGACGACTTCGGCCAACCACTCAGTGGTTCCTTAAACCAACAACGGGGCCGCCTCGGGTTTCCGACGGTTCCGAGGACCAAAACCAGCAGCCCGAGCCATCGATCCATCGCTTGGGTCGCCTGCTCCCGGAGCCGCGGCTCGGCGCAGATCTCGATCTGCTGGCCCTCGAAGGCGCGGAGGATGCCTCGAATCGGACGGGATCGGCGCAAGCCGCGGATCGGAGAATGCGCGGCGATGAAGCGACTGGAAGCCTGGGAAAGAAGACTGGAGAAACCATGGGTGGGGTTAGATCTTTGAGATTTGACCTAGAGAACATGGTGTTTTCTTGATAAAGGCAAGTGGGCTTTTAGATAAACACAATGCTCTCAACCTTGGCTTGGGGGGGGGCCTCGGGGGGCGCACGCTTAGGCACCGATTCAAGCTAACTGTCACTTACAGGGCTACAGTGCCACTTGCGAGTTGACCCACAGGCAGTGTACCGGACGCACTTTGGATTCCATTGAAGAGCCCGGATCCCAAAATGGGAAGTTTTGAGGGGCTTCCAGCCTTTTCCGTTCTTTCTCTCTTTTTTGTTTTCTCACTCCCCGAGTTCCTCGACTTGAGGCCTTTACGGGAAGACCGCTTCAGTGTATAAACCCTGCTAAGCAAGAAATGTGTTTTTTTTTGCCAATCCACCGTTCGGAGGTGAGTTTTTCATGGGAGGGCCATCCCCGAACCGTTGTGAGCTGGGATAGGCGTGAGGCACATCGCCCGGAAAAAAACGCCTTTACCGCGCCGCACTTTCGACGAGAGAAGTGTTCATTGGAGGCCAGGGCATCTCCCACCCGACTCCGCCGAGGCCAAAAACGCCAGGGGTTCAGGGCGCCGGGGCCCGGCCCTTTTGCGGATCCGCCGCGGAGCCCATGCCCCATGGAAATTCCGGGCGGCATTGCAAAGTTTGGCGCGTCCGTATGTAGGGCGAGTAGAAGAAGCGCACACTTGAGTTGCCAACCAGCTTGCCTCAGGTGTCAGGGAGTCTCAGCTTCTGTCCGGCTTCTCGACTCTCCATTTGTGGGTCAAAAATAGGTGCTCAAAATGGGTTGCCCTAAATGGAAACAAGGACCAAAAAACCTGCGGTCCAATTCCTGGTAGATTAGTTAACGTTAGACCACCAACAAACCGCAGATTTTAGTCCTTGGTTCCAATACCCAGGGTTCCACTTTGCGCCTTTTGATGCCTTTTGTGTACCTATTTTTGACCCATACCCATTTCACAGGTCAACCAAGTCAGAGGATCCCCCAGCTCCTGGCAGATCCCTCCAATCCCCAGCTGCCGCCCAGATTTCTTCAGCGAGAAACGCGAGGGCTTGAACTGCTCAAGCAAAGCTGAACGTGAAAGCAATGCAATCCTCACTTGCCCAAAGGACCCAGAAATAAAAGGTGATCACCTTTTGGCACCTCCACTAAAAATGGACCAAAACGGGAAAACCAAAAGGTCAAAAGGTCGATTCGCTTTGGGCAACTGAGAATCAACCAGCGCACAAAAAAGGATAACCATGACATGAACGTATGTTGGGAGAGATCAAAGGATAACCATGACATGAACGTATGTTGGGAGAATTTTTGGAGAATTGAACTCAAAGTCTGTGAGAGATTCCGTGTGTGCAGTGATTTCCCCGCTTTTGCCTGAACATTCCTTGGCTGGAATAAGGGGACCGCAGCAAAACATACATGTTTTGCCTTCGTGGAAAACAAAAAGGACCCCAAACAAAGGGGACCCCACAAAAAGGACACCCCAAACACCCCACAAAAAGGGGAGCGAATTCCGAAGATTCAACACGCCCGACGTAGAAGCCGTGGCAACGTCAAGCCCTCGTAGCCAAGCTGCGGACTTGCTCGCCCGCGGCTTCCCCTTGCAACCGCCCAAGCCTATCGAGGAGCGCAAAAACTCCGCGCACCTCAACAAGGACTGGGAGTCATATACTTTTTTCAGGAGGGGAGGATTTGGGGGGACCCATTTAAAAAGGTATGAAGGAGTGACCGTGCTGGGAATCGGGCGCCCAAGCTTTGGCACAAAAAAACAACTTGCCGGAGTGTCCGCTGTTATTTTTCATTTCAACAGCAAGGCTCCAGCCAGGTTTGCTGGAAACATGACTTGGCTCCTGAAAGGCTCCCGCTGAGTCGTTGGCGTTCCCTTTCAAAAACATACGGCACGGGGAATTGCCGGGCATAGGCCTGTGGATTTGCAGGAGCGAGAAGGAAACCCTTCCATCCTACGTGTTTCGTGTGCGTGTCACGTCGAAAACTGCCGCCAGTGAGACATCGCGCCACTTAGTGGACCCCCAACAGGGGGAGAAGTGTACGTTTTTGTTGGTTCAGAGAAGGCTCTTTCAAAAAAATCTGGGGGCACTCAGACACAATATATCACGGCATAAGGTGTGCTCTGGCAGTTCGTTCCCGGCCTGGTCAGCTCAATCTTGTTATCTGGCGTCCACCTGCAGCGCATGCGAGCCGGGCAAGGCTCGGCAGCTAGGCTAACCTGATCAAGCAAGCCCCTGGCTTTATGTTTCGAAGCAGCGCAACTTGCTTTTCCAAACAGCTCCTGACCCAGGACATGTCAACATAGCCATGGATCCAATGGACAAGTCGAAGCAGAATTCACGCAACTAGGTCCTCCAGTGTAGAGGTTAGAATAAGGGTACCCCTTTTGCTGTAGCCTATTTTACTGTAGTAGGGGAACCCTCCAACAAAAAAGGAACGGCAAGAGGGGCCCTAGCTGAGGGACCTAGAAAACGAGCGCAAAGATCTTCCCCAACCTTAGGCAACTTTTCTTTGCAGGCGTAGACCTGGCCACCTCGCATCCCCGCGAGACTCGGCATGTGAAAACTGCAGCAGGAACGGCAGGGGATGCGAAACGGACGTGCGCATGCTTACGCAGACCATCCATGTTGACAGCGAGGGCAAAACCGAACACAGGAAGGCCCTAGCCTGATCTTTCTCTGCACTGCCAAAAACCAGCAGGCTTGAAGCTGCCACACCACACCGCTTGGACACGTTGAACCAAACAAGATGTTCGGGGAGGGCCTTGACCTCGCGAAATGGGTAAAAAACCGACAGCGTGAGGTCCAAATGTTCAACCACGGCACTGGTAGGCGGAGCGGTCCTGCAAGGCGGACAGGAAGATGCGACATCCAGGTGCTTCTGAGTGTCTGTCCCAAACTAATTACAGCCAGCACTTGTGTTGCACTAATTTAGCCACTGGCAAATTGACTAGTTCAAGTGTGGCAACCTCTCGCTGGACCAACCAATGGTCCCGTTGAATGCGCTGCCTCAAACACATCACGACCAAGTGCGCTTGCAGGATCTTGCAGGCCAACTGTCAAGTCAATCGACGCGCCACACAAAGTCCCCGTTTGGTCGAATCCGCATCTCTTGGGCGCGCAAAGCAGAGAACCCGGGAAGCGGGGTCCTTGTTTCCCACGCTCTCGCCATGTCGCCTCGCGGCTTGCAAACGGACCATTGGGCCCGTTCCCAAAAATGCACACCGGCAGGCGTTCGTTGGGACCTTTGGCGCGAGAAGTCTTGGGTGGTCCAGGAAAATGGACATTTGCCAACTGCGAATGGCCCAATGGTAGGAAAAACCCGCGCGCGGGCTGCTTTCTGCCGCTGGTTGCTCAGGAAACTTTTGGAATGATCAAAACAATGAGCTCATTCCGGAGGGGACCACGTCTGCCTATCTTGTTCCTGACGCCTGGCTAGACAAACGAGGCTGAAATCAGCCTCGGTTTTCCGAGGATGCAACAAGGCTCCTGGGTATCACCTTTGGTTCCAGGGGAAATGGTACAAAGGCCCGGGCCAGATCATCTGAAATCAAGCTTCGTCAAAACAGGTCCAGGCTGATGCAATCGCGTGTCACATCCCAAATCTGGGTCATCTTGCCGAAAAATGTTTGAATGCTTCGTCAACCCGTGCTCATCGCATTGCTTGCCTGCCTTGGTGAGCTCTACACGCCTTCGCTACAAACATCCCAATGGTGCGTCCTAGTCCCTAGCTACGCCAACCATGCCGACACCAAGCTCGGCCAACTCGCCCTCAGAAACCGAGCGGCACTAGCACGATGCGCTTTGGCCGCAGTCGATCCCGCAATAAGCGGCGCTTGCCCTTGGCTAACTGGCTTGCGGCCAACAACCGCGGAGTGATAGCCCTGCGAACATGTTAATCCAGAAGAAGACCTTGTGATACCAGCCTACCAGTCTACCAGGGTAGTGCCACAAATAGGCCAAGGGCAACAATACAAGGCAAACGCACCTTTGCCACTGTTCGTGCGCGGGAAGCATGGCTTAAGAGTTCCAGTCGTCAGCTTTCATATGTTCATCTGTGACGCAGTGGCAGCAGTAGTAGTGGTACTAGCCAGTGATAGCCGCCCAATGTCTACCTCTGATGGGTAAAGCCCGCTACTTCAAAAGGGGCAGCTTTGTATGGATCACATGACAAAACAGAAGGCGCCGCTATCTGATTGTTTTTGACATTTCATTTAAAGGGCTCTTGTGCTTCGATAAGGAGGGGTGGGGGGGAGGGGTTGGTTGTTCCGTCGAAAACGTGGAACAACAAGTCCCCCCCCACCACCCTCCCCCCCCCCCACGACACGAACAACAACAATGTTGTTGTTCGAAGCCACCCGCCCACCCACAACAACCCCCGCCCCCCAACTTGTTAACACCCCCTCCCCTCAACAACAACTCCCCCCCCCCCGCACGTGTTGTTTTGCCCCCCCAACAACAACGACAACCTCCCCCCCTCCCCACTAATCGTTCGAACCCCTCCCCCCCCAAACAACAACTCCCCCCGCCCCACTTGTTTTTTAACCCGCCCCCCGACAACCTGAAGGTGTTCGACGAGACCTCGCACAACACCTGTGCCTGAGCTCAAAGCCAACAGATGGCACCATGGTTGGTATAGAACAACAACCCCCCACCCCTATCGAAGGGGCGTGACACCGCCTGCCAACGCTGCCAAATGCTGGGCGCCACTTCCCAAGAACGCGATGACGTTGGGATGCAAAGAATTGCCCAGCATGTTAAAATTTGAGGATGGCAGTTCTGAAGGTACAGGGCACGACAAGGACGGGAAGGGACGGGAAGGGACGGGAAGGGACGGGAAGGGCGTGAAGGGATGCAGAAGGACGGGAATTCAGGGGAAGGGATGGGAAGGGACGGGCAGAAATGGCAAGGAGCGACAAGGACGGAAAGGGACGACAAGGGACGGGAAGGGACACCTTCGATGGGGGCCCCGCGAATAGACCTTTGCAAGGCGGCCTGCGCGCCGGTTTTGTCTACGAGTTCGGGTCAAAGGTGCGACTCGATGACTCCGACCCTGTCAAGCGAGCGGCTCGATCGAACAGCCCTTGGGCTCAAGGCGCAAGTTCGCTTTTCAAGGTTAGAAGAGTTCGGGCCCCTGAAATTTTGAGGGCCGGGCCGATGAGTCGAGTGTCCTGGCAAGCGAGCGAGGCCGCGAACAAAGTTGGGGCTGAAGACCTTCGTGCTTTTCAAGGTTACAAGGGTTCGGGCCGAATACCTTCGATGGGGTTTAGCCTTCGCCATTAGTCCGGCCAACGGGCAGAAACCCCTGGCGTGGCTGATATTTTGAGGGCCGGGCCGATGAGTCGTAATGTTCTGGCAAGCGGGCAAGTTTCAAGCTTGGAAGGGTTCGCGACCGGGCTCGGCGCCTCACCGCGAAACTGGCTTGGGTGGAGACTCTTTGCGTGGCTGAAAACCTTCGAGGGCCGGGCCGATGTTGTGAATATCCTGAAGAGCGGGCGACGGGGCGACCAAAAAACCGTTTGATTGTTGGCCGACGTTCTTGATTCAAGGCGAGGCTGCGACAAACTCAAGGGGTTTGGAGGGCCCTTGCCCGGAATGGTCAGTTCAAGACAGCTCGGCTGCGTGTACAGTTGGATAACTCTTGCCGATCTGACTGCGAAATGCCGACCTACGCGTTCGCCCTTCACTCCATAGCCTTGCCGAGGGCCTGAATGTCGTCCTGGCTTGCTGGCGCAGCTGTCCTTCGCCGCCTCCGCCAGTTCCGGCCAGGCCCACTGCTGGAGGTGTGCGAGGGCGGCGCAGGCCGCGAGGGGGAGCAGCTTCGCAAGGTGGCTCTTCCAGCTGCGCGCCTTGATCTTCGCATACTTCTTCGCGCTAGACAGGTCCAAGTATCTGCAGCACTTTGGGGATCTTCTCCACACACTCCTGATGTGCTCGGCCCTTCGCGACTCCTGGCACAACACCTGAATCTTGGTGAGTAGTTTGCCGGTCTCAGCGGCGGTGGTGACGTTGAGTATGAGCTTTTGCTGCAGGCGCCCCAAGGTTTCTTCGGCTCGTGCGGCCCGAGTCGGGGAATTGCTTGTGCCCGCATCAAGACCAACAAGCCGTACTTGGAGTCCTCCGCGGCCGGCAGCATGCCGTGCTGACGCAGTGACGCGTGGAACTGCGCCGCCTCCCGAATCTGCGCCGCTGTCCCCGCCAGGTCCGCCGGGGCCGTGGCTGGAATGCCGTACTTCTGCTTGATAGCCGCTGGCAGCTGGTCATCCGCGAACGACTCCTCGCTTGCATCCTGAAGGCCCACGCGACGAATTCGTCGACGGGCCATTGGCTTGCTGGATGGACTGGGTCCGCTTGGAGCAAGGTTTTTGAGAGTTTCTCCGAAGAGGTTTCCTGCATCAGGCACAAGTCACCTGCTTGGGTTGGTTACTCACGATGTTGTTTGTGGAGTTCCGGAACGCACTTCCATGAGTTTTTTGGCTCTTTCAGCCCGTGCTTGGCTCCTTCGGGAGCCCAACTTAGGGCAGGAGATGCAGATGCGATTCAACCTCACGACTATCCACACTTTCCCTCAATTACGGGGCGCTGATTGTGTTCAGCTTTCATGGTGATTTGCGGCGCCTTTCAGGTGTGTGTGGAATCCCTATTGCATTTTACCCGTTCTTTCACTACCTCAACTACTCACCATTTCTGTGTGAACTGGAGTGTTGCACGTAGCCGCCGCGCCCCGCGCTCTGAGCCGCTGCTGCGCCATTTCCTGGTCCGGGCGACGTGTCCTAGACGGACTTTCCACCCCGATCTTGGCTGCGTGAGTTGCTCTGGCACCGATGCCAGACGTCTTGGGCCCCCCCACTGCGTGGGAGGCCAAGGCCGCGCCCCTCTCCCGCCGGACTTACCTCTCGACCCCCCTGCAGGGTGGACCTGCTTCTCCTGAGCTCTTGCTCATTCGCTCCCCACTCCTACGGGGCTTATGCTCAAGGCGCCTGCAGGGAGGGTTTGCAGGCAAAGCCGCTCCCCTCTCCTGCAGGGCTTACCGCCCGCAGGGTGGATTTGCTTCCACAACAACCAGGCGTAAGAAAGGTAGTTTGTGTGTCGCTGCTGAGAATGTGAGTCATGAACAACACCCGGGCGGCCTCACAAATAGAAAGAAAACTGTGCCTCTGCGTGCCAGTTGCAAGGCGCGGACGCTTTCATAGTGCCCCTTTGCGCCTCAATCAAGCGCTTGCCGCTACAGCCCTTTGCCGGGGAGCTGCGGCAAGCTCCCCTCCGCCTGCGCACCGTGGTTGGTTCATCGATCCCGGGTTTTTTGTTAACCCAGGCGGGGGCGCTTCCCGGGATCTCACCAACCGCGACGAGGGAAAGCGCGCAGGTGGCTTGGCTTGAAAGCTAGCGCAAGCGAATTTTTTGGCTGCAGCGCCGGCCAAGCCATCAACTCTTTTGCCCCCAGCTCGGGGGAAGACAAGGGGGTTTAACAGGGTGCAATTTTGGGTGGTAGGGGTGGCCTCATTCCGCACGGCGCCGTTGGGCCCTCCACCCTTTCAGGGGAGGGCCCAGGCGCCCCCGCTGTAGACACCCTAAACCCTAAACCCTAAATGTAGAAAATGTAAACCACCAAATAGAGCTCTTCTCAATGGTGATGAACCTCGACCAACTCCAAACGTCACGCAAAAATCCAAATACAAAGTCTGTGATCTCAAAGGATATCTCAAATATGCCAACTATCACAGATCAAGATAAATCAAACAGCTCGCCAATATACAGATATAACTCAATCTTCAGATATATCAAGTATCCATTTTGCACGCTCGTCTCACAAACCTCGGCTTGAGCCACCCTGAGGACACTGCTGTGGCTGAAGGTACAGTCCTAGTCGTGACCCTGCATCTGATGATGACACATTCCGGCGTGCCTCTGCGGAGACGGTGGTGGAGCTCTCATCTGCTGCCAAGGATCACCTCCAGCCATCCACGGATCACAACTGCCCCTGCCTGATCCCAGGCATTTCCGGAAGGTTGAAATATGCCCTGACCCAAGGTAAAACTAGTCCCAACTGCTGGCTGCACCTGTGGGTTCCCTGCGCCACCAAATGGCATCTGATGACCTCTCAAGTCACACTGCGGTTGGCTCCCCGAGCCGGCCATTTACCTGCAAAGGCATAAACTGATTGTCTCGCTC